CGCTTTCACCATTTTTCCATGATTCACACCTGACCATACCTGACCACACCTGACCATACCTGACCATACCTGACCACACCTGACCATACCTGACCACACCATGGCCCTAACCTCCCCTCCTGACAGGTGCCAGGTCACGGTGCCAGTTTTATAATGTGTCCGTCAGGCAGTGGTTTTGAGGGTAAGGTCACAAAACTACGCGTGGTTATTGATCAACACGTCTTTGCAGTAAGTCACCAGGAAGGGGTAATTGCTGGCTGGTTATTGCTTCACACACATTGCAAACGTTAATTTATTTGATTCAGACGATGACTATACGATTCTGATCTTTTATTTTACTAAGTTATTAAGAGATTTTCGTCATATTCAGATGGTTTTTATACCTTTCATTATTATTTTTGAAGGATGTTGTCGTATGTGTTATGTATACAGTATAGATGATCTGAGTTAATTTTGTTCACGTCTTGCGAAAAAACTAAAAACATTTGACAGTCACAACACTAAATCGAAGTCAGTATGTAGTTCAAACACTTTATTTGAACAAACTATTACAGGTATTTAGTGCTATATTAACCTCACAAACAACAAGTACAGTATAGTGCTATATTAACCTCACAAACAACAAGTACAGTATAGTGCTATGTTAACCTCACAAACAACAAGTATAGTGCTATGTTAACCTCACAAACAACAAGTACAGTATAGTGCTATGTTAACCTCACAAACAACAAGTATAGTGCTATGTTAACCTCACAAACAACAAGTATAGTGCTATGTTAACCTCACAAACAACAAGTACAGTATAGTGCTATGTTAACCTCACAAACAAGTAAACTCCTCATCTAAGTTTACAGCAGTTGTGTTTTTGTTATCATGAAGAGAGTTTAACTAATATCAATAGTTTATTTACAAAGTTTCCCTCAATATTGTCGGCTCTCCCTTTGTATATTTCTTCATGAGGCGAGTATACCGCAGCCTGTGTATATTTCTTCATGAGGCGAGTATACCGCAGCCTGTGTATATTTCTTCATGAGGCGAGTATACCGCAGCCTGTGTATATTTCTTCATGGGGCGAGTATACCGCAGCCTGTGTATATTTCAACCTTCATGAAGAGGCAGTACTTGCCACCCCAGCCTGTATATTTCTTCATGAGCGAGTATACACAGCCTGTGTATATTTCTTCATAGAGGCAAGTATACTGCAGCCTGTGTCTGTATTTCTTCATGGGGCAGGTATGCAGCCTGTGTATATTCCCTATTTCATGAGGCAGATATACCGCAGCCTGTGTATATTTCTTCATGAGGCGAGTATACCGCAGCCTGTGTATATTTCTTCATGAGGCGAGTATACCGCAGCCTGTGTATATTTCTTCATGGGGCGAGTATACCGCAGCCTGTGTATATTTCTTCATGAGGCGAGTATACCATTCATGGGGCGATATACCGCAGCCTGTGTATATTTCTTCATGGGCAGTATACCGTAGCTTATTTCTTCATGGGCGAGTATACGCAGCCAACCATATTTCTTCATGGGGCATATACCCGAGTGAGGCACCGCAGCCTGTGTATATTTCTTATCATACCGCGGAGTATACGCAGCCTGTGTATATTTCTTCATGGAGCGAGTATACCACAGCCTGTATATTTCTTCTGCATGGGGCAGTATACCGGCCTGTGTATATTTCTTCATGGGCGAGTATACCGCAGCCTGTGTATATTTCTTCAGAGGCGAGTATACCGCAGCCGTGTATATTTCTTCACATGCAGCGTGTATATTTTCATACAGCTGTGTATATTTCTTCATGAGGCGAGTATACGCAGCCTGTGTATATTTCTTCATGAGCGAGTATACCGCAGCCTGTGCATTTCTTCATGTATACGCATGTATATTTCTTCATGGGGCGAGTATACCGCAGCCTGTGTATATTTCTTCATGGGCAATATACCGCAGCCTGTGTATATTTCTTCATGGGGCGAGTATACGCAGCCTGTGTATATTTCTTCATGGGCGAGTATGCGCAGCCTGTGTATATTTCTTCATGAGGCGAGTATACGCAGCCTGTGTATATTTCTTCATACAGAGTATACCGCAGCCTGTGTATATTTCTTCATGAGGCGAGTATACCGCAGCCTGTGTATATTTCTTCATGAGGCGAGTATACCGCAGCCTGTGTATATTTCTTCATGAGGCGAGTATACCGCAGCCTGTGTATATTTCTTCATGAGGCGAGTATACCGCAGCCTGTGTATATTTCTTCATGAGGCGAGTATACCGCAGCCTGTGTATATTTCTTCATGGGGCGAGTATACCGCAGCCTGTGTATATTTCTTCATGAGGCGAGTATACCGCAGCATGTGTATATTAAGTAACCATATACGACAGCAGTAATAAAACAACCTAACCTAACCTACCGCCACGTCATCTACTAACAGACACTCATGGTCTCTACAGGGTGTCTTAGAGATCACTATTTACTATGTCTATATTCTTGTATTTCATTTAATTTCTGGGTCGAGAGTCTAATAACTATGCTGCCTGACTCCCCTCCACCTTCGCCAAGTACTGAGGAAGGAAGATATTTTGCTGAAAGTTTGTTTTGAACTTCCTGCCAAAACACGTACGCATGACGTCACACAGAGAATGTCAACAACACTGGAGTCTTTAGATGCAGTGTCAGCCAATGAAAAATCACTTCTTTTTTTAATACGAAGTGACACAGCCTTAATTGAATCTTTTGGGTATAATTCATTTGGATTAATAATAATAAATTAAACTTTGTAAAAAAAATTCTGACGTTAAATTGTTAAGTTCAAGGTAAACGCATTTATGAATTTCCGTTCAATATTTATTTGAAATGGTTAAAGAACCTCTGAATGGACAAGGTTTACATTACTGTATAACCAATGGATTAAGTGGTAGTTGGATTCGACCAGTTGCCAACCACAGAAACCACAACTAAAGTAGAGAGAGAGAGAGAGAGAGAGAGTATACTCTTAACACAGTGCATTTTATCCTGGGAGATGGCATTTCAATCTTTCAGGGGGCGTTTCAATCTTTCGTTGGGGGGGGGCGTTTCAGTTTTTCAGGGTTTTTTTATTATTGTGAGGGCGTTTCAATCATTCAGGGGGCGTTTCAATCTTTCGGGGAGGCGTTTCAGTCTTCTAGGGGGTTTTAATTATTGGGAGGGCGTTTCAATCTTTCAGGGGATTTTTATCTTTGGGGGCGTTTCAGTCTTTCGGGAAGTATTTCAATCATTCAGGGGGTTTTAATCTTTGGGGTGGGATGGGCGTTTTAATCTTCCAGGAGGGTTTCAATCTTCCAGGGGGCGATTCAATCTTTCAATAAGGGACGTTTCAATCAAATGTAAGTTTTACTTTAGTTTATGCTTAAAGTTCATACGAAACAGAGAAAACTCTAACTTTTAGCGGAGTAACTATTGCATTCTATTCTCACACCACCCAATTACTAGTTCACGACACCTCTTATATTAACCCCACTTACTGATGATGGAACCCCCTTAATCAGGCCTCGAACACTTCCCTCAATTAATTTAAGTAGTAAGTGATTCATTATGTTATATTGTTAATTGTTCTTACTTAGGCTTATTTTCTCGTTAATAGTTCAGTGATTGTGTTTATCTTCGTTGGTAAAATTGGATTCAGTTGATGTATATGATTCTGTATGGATAAGTCGAGGCTTCATTCACACGTCTCGAAGTGATGTTGGACAGATGACACGCCAGCCCGCAGTGCTGGCTGACGGCTGCTGACGCTACTGGGTGCTGCTGGCTGCTGTCGCCTTTAGGTACTGCTGGCTGATGCCTGCTAACGCTAGCTGGGTACTGCTGGCTGCTGACGCCTTTGGGTACTGCTGGATGGCGGCTGCTGACGATTTTGGGTACTGCTATTTGGATGATTTACTTCTGCTGCATATTCACTAGATGCACACGCCATCAATGTGCGCTGTGATGGAAAAAATGGCACAACCTCGGCTCACTGACTTCATTTTATTTGCTTACAATTGAATACACTACAAAGCTAACAAAACATTCTTTTTGTCATGAATGATTTCCCTTACTCTTCATTATTCCATTATTTACAGTCTGATGAAAACAAGGAAAATATGTCGTTAGAGCTCAGAGTTCGCGGCTTAAGATTAGTGTTCATGGACATTATATTACAAAAACGTTTTCCCTTTCAACTTTTTTCTCGCGAGGTAAGAAAGCCTTTAACTTGTATTACAGAAATGTCATCAAGTTGGTCGCTGGCTGTGTTAACCTCGATGGCTAATATTACAACTACGTTTCTGTTATTTTGGTTTATCCTTGTCTGGTTTTATCTTGTTTTATGCTGTAAATATATGAAGACAATTATAGTTTTAGTCTTTTTGTTAATTTCAAGGTTCTATCACCCAGACCCGAGTATCGGTCCTCTCAACCCAATGCACTCACGGTTGAAGAGAAGTTATCGTCATTTATATCGTGAATGGTAAACGATTATAGCTAACGGAATTAAAATGTACAGAGGGACATAAATATCACTTAAGTATATTAGGGTCAATTGAATATAGAATAGGTATAGCAATAACGTCATAAAGTTATAAAAAACAATTTGTAAACGATTAACACACTTTACTATATAAAATAAAGTAAAGGCAGAAAACTAGTGATCGTAAAATGCCTTGATTAATACTGATAAGAAAGGAAGTTAATAATATATACTGCCATCATGTATACAGTATACATATTTGACTATTTTGAACACTTGTGAACTATAGTACTTCAGTTGGTCAGCTGTGGCGACCAGTCAGACAATGGAGACTGATGAAACGAATAAATAAAATCTAATGATCTTACTATATATTTTATTATTGGTTAGGTTAGGTTACATGAAAATTAAAATACACCTGCTAGGTTAGGTTAGATTAGGTTACATAAGCATTAACGCACCTGCTAGGTTAGGTTAGGTTAGGTTACATAAGCATTAACACACCTGCTAGGTTAGGTTGCATAAACATTAACACACCTGCTAGGTTAGGTTGCATAAACATTAACACACCTGCTAGGTTAGGTTGCATAAACATTAACACACCTGCTAGTCGTGTAATTTGTCAACACACTCAAAACAAATAACTTCTGTTACCTGGACGTTTACAAGACAAAAACTTGACGAGATGATAGTAATAATAATAATAATAATAATAATAATAATAATAATAATAATAATAATAATAATAATAATAATAATAATAATAATAATAATAATAATAATGGTAGTAGGGTCAGGTAGGGTATAGTGACGTCACAAGTTAAGGCAGGGTCAGGGTGTAGTTGGCTGGCTCAAGGTGTAAATATCTGGTTCAGGGTGTAGGTGGCTGGTTCAGGGATGGCAGCCTCGCAGATGTAGCCAATCCCGGTATATAAGCTGCCTTTGTAACAGTCCTTGATAACCACATCGAACGACGCGGTGATGGTGCTTTGGTCACTGTACAAACCACAGTCAACGGTGTCACAGTCTTTACTGTACGCATCGCCTGTCCAACATTTGGCGCTTCCTACACCATCGTTAGTCCAGGTCATTGCCAGGTCTCCCGGGGCTGCAAAGACAAAGGATCTCAAGTTGGTATTCTGAGTCACTATCTCTCTCTCCCTCTGTGTTGGTGAGTCACTATCTCTCTCTCCCTCTATGTTGGTGAATCACTATCTCTTTCTCGCCCTCTGTGTTGGTGAGTCACTATATATCTCTCTCTCTGTGTTAGTGAGTCACTGTCTCTTTCTCTCCCTCTGTGGTTGGTGAGTCACTATATATCTCTCTCTCTCTGTGTTAGTGAGTCACTGTCTCTTTCTCTCCCTCTGTGTTGGTGAGTCACTATCTCTTTCTCTCCCTCTGTGTTGGTGAGTCACTATCTCTCTCTCTCTGTGTTAGTGAGTCACTATGTCTTTCTCTCCCTCTGTGTTGGTGAGTCACTATCACTTTCTCTCCCCCTGTGTGGTGAGTCACTATCCTTTCTCTCCCTGAGTCACTATATCTCTCTCTCTGTTAGTGAGTCACTGTCTCTTTCTCTCTTGTTGGTGAGTCTCCTTTCTCTCTCCCTCTGTGTTGGTGAGTCACTATCTCTTTCTCTCCCTCTGTGTTGGTGAGTCACTATCTCTCTCTCTCTCTCTCTCTCTCTCTCTCTCTGTGTTAGTGAGTCACTATCTCTTTTCTCTCTCTGTGTTGGTGAGTCACTATCTCTCTCTCTCTCTCTCTGTGAGTATCTCACCTCTTCTCCTCTCTGTGTTAGTGAGTCACTTATCTCTTTCTCTCTGTGTTGGTGAGTCACTATCTCTTTCTAGTCATCTCTTCTCTCTCTGTGTTGGTGAGTCACTATCTCTCTCTCTGTGTTAGTGAGTCATCTCTCTTTCTCTCCTCTGTGTTGGTGAGTCATCTCTTTCTCTCTCTCTCTGTGTGTTAGTGAGTCACTATCTCTCTCTCTGTGAGTCACTGAGTCACATCTCTCTCCTCTGTGTGAGTCAATCCTTTCTCTCCTTATCTCTCTCTCTCTGTTGGTGAGTCACCTCTCTCTCTGTGTTGGTGAGTCACCATCTCTCTCTCTCTGGTTCTCTCTCCTCTCTCCTCTGTGTTGGTGAGTCACTATTCTCTCTCCTCTGTGTTGGTGAGTCACTGGTGAGTCACTATCTCTCTCTCTCTGTGTTGGTGAGTCACCATCTCTCTTCTCTCTCCCTCCCTCTGTGTTGGTGAGTCACTATCTCTCTCTCCCTCTGTGTTGGTGAGTATCTCTCTCTCTCTGTGTTGGTGAGTCACTATCTCTCTCTTCTCTCTCTCTGTGTAGTCTGGTGAGCTCATCTCTCTCTCTCTGTGTTGGTGAGTCACTATCTCTCTGAGTCACCTCTCTGTTGGTGAGTCACTATATCTCTGCCTCTGTGTGAGGTCACTATATCTCTCTCTCTGTGTTGGTGAGTCACTATATCTCTCTCCTCTGTGTTGGTGAGTCACTATCTCTCTCCCCTGTGCTGGTCATCACTCTTCTTCTCCCTCTGTCTCTCTCTCTCTCTCTCTCTTGTTGGTAAGTCACCATCTCTCTCCCTCTAGAGGACAGTTGGGTTGGCAGTTGGGTGGCAGTGGTTTGAGGCACAGTTGGGTGCTACAGGGCGTGGTTTGAGGCACAGTTTGGGAGGGCACAGCGTGGCACAGGCGTGGTTTGAGGCACAGTTGCTACAGGAGGCGTGGTTTGAGGTTTGACAGTTGGGTGCTACAGGGGCGTGGTTTGAGGCACAGTTGGGTGCTACAGGGGCGTGGTTTGAGGCACAGTTGGGAGCTACAGGGGCGTGGTTTGAGGCACAGATAGATCACTTCTATAAGACTGGTATAATGAGCTTGAAGGTGAAGTATCAGGGTAGATAATATTTGAAAAACTAATGAAAAGTTGTATTTCTGCCTTATTGTTGTATCACTTCTATAAGACTGGTATAATGAGCTTGAAGGTGAAGTATCAGGGTAGATAATATTTGAAAAACTAATGAAAAGTTGTATTTCTGCCTTATTGTTGTATACCTGGATGAAGTGTAATTGGTCTCACCTGTGGTACTATTCAGGTTCCATCCTGTCCAAATATATTTATTTTCATTTTCCCCACTCTCCAGTATGGGCATCCACATCGCTTGGTAATTCATGTTATTGTAGATTATCTTCATCCACTCCCACTCAAGCTGTGTCCTCGGCACCAGTAGTTCGCCCCACAGTGATTTGCAGGCGGCTTTTGCATCTCCCCATGAGATTCCTGTCGATGCGGGAGGGATGTAGTGGACCAGCCGCCCGAGGTCCAGTTTATAGCCGAGTTCTTGGTACATATCTGTGGAGTGAACCTTGTCTCACCATCACTTGGCTATACACTTTACTTTAACCAGAATTTATCACTGAATCATTAAGTCAGCAGGGTGGTCAAAATCCTTCGTCTGTTGTGGGTAGGAATAGGTGGTGAGGAGGAGGAGAAGGAAGTGGTGCAGGGGACCAAGTGGAAGTGGTAGGGTAATCAGCCACTTACTTGGGTCGTAGTAGAGGGTAGAGTGTAAGAGAACTCTAAGGTGACTATAGGAGGAGAGGACCTCACATATATACTCTCTGCTCGGCCTCCGCTTGTAGATAATGTTGAAGGCGCGGCAATCTGGCTGGTTCATCAGACACACGCTAGCGCACTGTATTAGCGAGGCGGACTGTACCATACATGAAACAGAATACAGTATACTTTAATTAATAAGGTATACCATATTACTGTAATTTATCATCATACAGGGAATATTGATGAGGCAACGGAGTAAACGAATCACGTGAAGAATAACCCCCCCCCCCCTCTCCTCCTCCTCTTCCCCCGGCTTAGGTCACATGAAGTTAAAACACCCTGACGTTCTACCTAGATGGGTTAGGTTAGATTAGGTTAGGTTACGTTAGGTTATGTTAGGGTGTTTAATGATCACCTGAAATAAGTTGTGGTGTCTAATCTTCAGGTGATCGGAGTACACCAGAACAAATGAACATCAGTTTTACTCAAGCACAAACAAAAGAAGTGTGAAAAGAGCGGCCTACATTAATAAGGTAAATAAAGACAAAATCTTACAGGTATCATAGGGACTGACAAGGAAACTGACATTAATGAGGCAAAACAACATGAGAGATACCTGACTCACCTTACACCTGGGAGATAGTACTGACTCACCTTACACCTGGGAGATAGTACTGACTCACCTTACACCTAGGAGATAGTACTGACTCACCTTACCTGACTCACCTTACACCTAGGAGATAGTACTGACTCACCTTACACCTGGGAGATATTACTACCTCACCTTACACCTGGGAGATATTACTACCTCACCTTACACCTGGGAGATATTACTACCTCACCTTACACCTGGGAGATATTACTACCTCACCTTACACCTGGGAGATTTTACTACCTCACCTTACACCTGGGAGATATTACTACCTCACCTTACACCTGGGAGATTTTACTACCTCACCTTACACCTGGGAGATTTTACTACCTCACCTTACACCTGGGAGACAGTACTGACTCACCTGTAGTCTAATAAGGACGTGTCCCTGGATGTAGTAACCAGTGAACTCTAGGAATTTGTTTTGGTTGGTACAGAGGACACCTGTCAGTACGACTGTCAGCGTCAGCAGCCTCAACTTCCCTCGCTGACTCATGTTGACCACGGACTTGACGTTTTCTCTAATGTCACATAGCACGAAATTATTATTGACATCCTTTCATCTATTAGTGTGTGTGTGTGTGTGTGTGTGTGTGTGTGTGTGTGTGTGTGTGTGTGTGTGTGTGTGTGTGTGTGTGTGTGTGTGTGTGTGTGTGTGTAATAATGTAATAATAATAATAATAATAATAATACAGATTATTAATAGAGTTGCAGCCGGTGGTTGAAAAATACAAACTTACATTTGATTTAGACATAATGATATGTGTTGAATACATTTACAGGGCTGTACAGTACATAAATCAGGAGTTGTTTATTATTTTAGCAATAGATGGGATGGTGCTGTTCTTATATCTATCGGTGCGGGCTCTTATGGGCTGAATTTGTTGTAGTGGCTAACTGCGCGAGGTGGTGGGGGACTGCCGGTGGCAGGAGGTGGCGATGACGATGGTGCAGTAGTCCACTGTGTGTGTGGGGGATGTGTGTGTGAGGGGGAGTGTGTGTGTGTGTGTGTGTGTGTGTGTGTGTGTGTGTGTTACGTTTAAACATGTATAAACATTTTATTCATTTTTAAGCTTCAATTTAGGGGATCAAATTTGGCATCATTTCTATGCTTAGAGAGGCACTTGCAACCCTCCTCTTCACACACTACTACTACTACTACCACTACTACTACAACTACTACTACTACTACTTTGCTGTCACTCGGAATCGAGTATGACGATCATTCAGCTATGATACAATGATATGAGTTATTAAGGATGTCACCTAGGTTGGTGAGTTCTGAGGTGACTAAGAGGCCGGTACGGGACCGGCAGAGTCGATCACTGATGTTGCACATGTAGTGGGCTACATCTAGTGCGGGAGGGGCGGTGACAGCATCTCTCCTGTGCTGGCGCTTGTCTGCCTCGGTTAACAGTCGGGCTAACTCGAAAGTATTAACACCTTCTCGTGCGCGCACACACACACACACACACACGTTATGAGGTCTTTGGTTTACCTACAGTGAAACCTTCATATAACGGACTTATCTCTCCACACAATCCGTTACTTGGGGGTTTAATATCTAACGGACCCTCGATATAACGGACTTTCCTCTCCCTGTAGTCCGTTAAAGCGGGGATTCACTGTACCCGAACACACTCCCAAAACATGGTCTTTACCTGATTGATTATGACCTCAACTCACGAGCACTTAAGATGCCTGTTTATGTTCATACAATGAGAACATAAGTAGAAAATGAACAACACAAATAGAACACGCACAGAGAGCAAATAGAACACGATTAGAACACGAATAATAGACGGATATAACATGAACAGATTACTATAAGAACACGGAACAGACCGTAACCAGTCCACTAGAAGAAAACAAAAAGAACACAAATAGAACACAGACGGAACACGAATAGAACACAAACAAAACACAAAAAATTTACAAAAACAGAAGACAAACAGTACATGAAAAAGTATTTGTATTTTGTAAACGAAACCCAGATCTATGTTGTTAATGGTCCTAGATATGTTGTTAATGGTCATAGATATGTTGTTAATGGTCCTAGATATGTTGTTAATGGTCCTAGATATGTTGTTAATGGTCAAGTATGTTGTTAATGGTCCTAGATATGTTGTTAATGGTCCTAGATATGTTGTTAATGGTCCTAGATATGTTGTTAATGGTCCTAGATATGTTGTTAATGGTCCTAGATATGTTGTTAATGGTCCTAGATATGTTGTTAATGGACCTAGATATGTTGTTAATGGTCCTAGATATGTTGTTAATGGTCCTAGATATGTTGTTAATGGCCATAGATATGTTGTTAATGGTCCTAACCTAAGAGTGTCTGAACCCTGAAATACCGATACTCATAACTTATGAGTATCGGTATTTCAATAATGTGGTGATTTGTTGCTTAGTCAGTCAGTCAGTCAGTTAGCTAGTAAGTTCGTTAGTTAGCTAGTAAGTTAGTTAGTTAGTGAGAGAGGAGTACGGCCTCTAACTGCACCTCTAACGGAAATAATAGCCCTAATATTACGTCACCGGAATAAAGGATATATGAATAAGCAGAAAAGAACATAATAGTCACGGTTCTCAAGACTCCTTAAAAACCTGTTCTGCCGAGGCTTGGCTGAACGAGAGATTCAAATGACTGGAAAATGGATCATGTGAGTCTTATGCCTCAAAAAGGGCGATGACCACTGCAAGAATAATTACTGGCTGGTGAGGCTAGTGAGCTCAACCAACATAATCATAGTTTGTATAGTACTATAGAGTATTGCACGCGTTGCCATGATGCAACATATACAACGACACAACATCGTGAATGAATACCAGCACAGTTTTATGCCCAGACACTCCTGCTTGACGCAAATGTTCTGGAAACTTGACTTTGCCGAAACCTTTAACAGTGTACCTCGTGAAAGGATGAAAATTAAACTGGAGAGGTATGGAATTCAGGGTGTTTAATTGCTGACGTTAACAATGAACGGAAATTCTTGGATCACCTGTCTAGATGTTCCCTCGGTCAAAAGGACCTTCAGTGGTGTGGTGCTCCCCCACTTGGAGTACTGTTTGGTCCCCGAGATAAGACAAACACTGCCACTTGATATATTACGTCCAAAGGAGGGCCATAAACTAGTGCCTGCACTTAAGCCTCTCACGCACCTTGAGAAGTTAGAATACCTCCAACTGCCGAGCTTATAATATACACAGGCAAGTACAGAAAATTGCCAGAGTGGACTTCTTTCGATTAAGAGTTGTAAACTGTTGAAATTTCCAGCCAGAGAAGGTTGTGACGGTACCGAATGTGAACTCATTTAAGATCAGACAGACTTGATCAACACTGGCACGTGTTCAGGAGCCAGAACACAAGCCCAGAGAAATCAAATGACCGACCGCCTGAACGGCTCGTAATACAACCAGTGGCGAAGAGGATAAGGAAAGTATAATAATAATAAAAGGAGAATGAGCCTTAACGCTTGGGCTTTCTGGGTTTACAGTTTCGTCGGTTCACTCTCAACCATCTTGGAAGTTGGGCTCTAGTTTCCTCGCCAGATTTTTTTTGTGTATCTTCGGTGTGTTGGGGTTATGTTACGTCCATGAAAATTAGGGCTCTGGAGACACTTGTCAGTAAGGCAGGCAAAGTAATGACAGAACTTTTAACTGAAGGACGTCGGGGTGTAGACGCTTCAATAACGGAGACGTTTACTGTACTGTACTGTGCTGTGCTGTGTCAGAGACCATCGATTGAGCAACAAACGAGTGTTATTTCATAAAGCGACAATATTCATCCTAAAAAATAAAGAAAGAATAACCGCGGATTATCAATGACTAACTACCAATCACGAATACGAGATTGTATCGATTGAGGTACCTAGTTCAATAGGTCGCAAACTGCCGGTGTATAGTGCTTACAAGTACTGTGCCATAATGTGTGTGTTCCCAGAGGTCCTCGACGCTGTTACACATTTAAAAACATACACCACCAATATATACACACAACTGTAACCTTCTCTATATCTGCCTTGAGTTAACTTACAAGACGCCGTGTAATGATTGCTTCACCACCGTTAGTGATGCGTTCATAACAGCCTCACCTGCAGTACATCTGTAGTCTATACGGATGGGTCCGATGAATTTCAGAATGAACACTGTGACTCCTATTGTCTCGGTAGGGTTGTCAAAATCCTTCGTCCGTTGTGTCATATTGTCTTATACAAAATCATAAAGATACTTTTAGAAGTTATTGGTATGTATTATTTCTTTTTATACGTGTATGTAACTTCCTCAAGGAATTTTGTAAACATAAATATCAAGGCACTTTCTAAACCCCCTTACCTGGATAACGTGTTAAGTACTGTACTGCCGGTGGTGTGAAAATATTTCCCACGGTTGGGTCGCGTGGCTGACTCACTCACTCACTGCTCAAACCAATAAACCTTCGTTCCTCACTCCCAGGTTTTGTCAGATTATGTTGGGTAAAGTGACGTTAGGTTTGGTTAGGTTAGGGTTAGACTAAAATAAGATTACGATAGGTTAGGTTAGGTTATGGAGAAGTTAAGTTAAATCGTGGTTAGATTATGGTCACGGGAGTCAGGTAACATAACACCTGCCTTGATAAGTGTCCCTCACTAATCAGCACGAGTAAACCTCATTAGTCGTTCCAATAACCTCAATTAATGGCAAAATAGACGGATACTAACTCTACATCTTGGACATTTTTCTTCCATTCTTTCATTCTTTATTTTGTTTAATTCTTTCATTTTATTCAAGTTTTTCATGAGCCCTAAAATACCTATCACAAGTATACATAAAGGCAGCGTCTGTAGTGTTGTGTTGGCCTGTTTGTTGCTGTGTGTGTACAGGTATGTGTACTTGGCAACATATTTACATACTCAAAATAGGGATGAGCGTCGAGTAACTTTTAAAAAGCAAATAACGTTTCAAGAATTACAGAGCAACATAACCACACAGGTTAAAATGGCGGGAAGCAAAAGAGCATCAAAAATTAAACAACTGCACACTTATCTTTCCTGTCTCCTAAATGGTATTAAGTGAACGTATCTGTACTCAAGGGGTTAAATAAATTATTGTACTCAGGGGGTTAAATTATCGTACATAAGAATATAAGAATGGAGGAAACTGCAGCGGGCCTATTGGCCCATATTGGGCAGTCCCATTTATACCCAACCCCTATTGCTCATATTTCTATCCAACCTATGTTTGAAGCTATCCAGCGTATTCGAGTTAATGGTGATATTTGGTAACTTGTTCCACTCGTCCACTACTTTATTTCCAAACCAATGTTTACCTATTTCGCGCCTAAATCTAAATTTGTCTAATTTAAAACCATTGTTACGAGTTCGCTCCGGGTTGGATAGTTTGAGTACCTTTGTAATGTCCCCTTTGTTTAGCCCTGACTTCCATTTACACACCTCTATCAAGTCGCTCCTCGCTCTACGTCTCACGAGGGAGTGCAAATTAAGATGCTTTGACCTGTCTCTATACTCAAGGTTCCTAATGCCCGGGATTAGTCTTGTCATTCTCCGCTGGATTATTTCCAAGGATTCTATATCCATTCTGTAAGATGCACCCATTCACACACACACACACACACACACGGGCATATGCACACGTATAGATGCACTCATTCACACACACACATTTATTCATCGATTGTACTTAACATAAGAGAGGCAGACAGATAAACAGGGATACAGATAGAGAGAAGAATAAGATGACAGAAAGGTCGAGAGAGAAAAGGAGAGGATGAGAGAGAAGAGAACGAGAGAGAGAGAGAGAGGTGGGTGGAGCAGAGTAAGTGAAACGTGGGTGGCGTTGACCGTAGACTTTCTCACCGCCTGCCTGAAATACTCGTGTCGGGTCGCGTCAGTCTCCCATACATTAATTCCTCTTACACATTAGCCAATTCCTTACCCTATAGACGTACCTAATCACTGTGTTGTTCCCTATAAGCTGAAGATTACTGTGGTCTAATATTAAATGCAGAGATAATGTAAATTTTATATAGAGTTTGATGGTGAAATTACTTGAAGAAAATGACGAATCTATCAGGTGAAATAAACAAGAATAAATTAATATACATTTTTGTGGGCGATAAAGACCAAATTACGAATATTTTAGTTGAAGGAAACTAAAATGCTTGAAGAATTTAGCTGAGGCAAATGATAAACCTTGATCAAGAAATTAGCTGAGGCAAACGAAAAGGCTTCACAAAGAATTCACCTGAGGGTTCCATTCATAAGACAAATTTTCAGATTATTTGTAGTTCCAAGAAGCGTCTTTGGCTTAGGACGAGTGAGAACATTTCTTATGTATGAAACTAAGAATTTTACCATTGTATTGTATCTGTCTCAGAAGCCTCAGAATGGAGAAAACTGCAGCGGGCCTATTGGCCCATATTGGGCAGTCTCATTTACACCCAACCCCTATTGCTCATATATCTATCCAACCTATGTTTGACGCTACCCAGCGTATTCCAGTTAATGATGATATTTGGTAACTTGTTCCACTCGTCCACTACTCTATTTCCAAACCAATGTTTACCAATTTCTCGCCTAAATCTAAATTTGTCTAATTTAAAACCATTGTTACGAGTTCGCTCCTGGTTGGATAGCTTGAGTACCTTTGTAATGTCCCCTTTGTTTAGCCCTGACTTCCATTTATACACTTCTATCAAGTCGCCCCTCGCTCTACGTCTTACGAAGGAGTGCAAATTAAGATGCTTTAACCTGTCTCTATACTCAAGGTTCCTAATGCCCGGGATTAGTCTTGTCATTCTCCTCTAGATTATTTGCAAGGATTCTATATCCACTCTGTAAGATGCACTCATTCACACACACACACACACACACACGGGCATATGCACACGTATAGATGCACTCATTCACACACACATACACACACACACACACACACACACGGGCATATGCACACACACACACACACACACACACATATTTATTCATCGATTGTACCTAACATAAGAGCGGCAGACAAACAGACAGATAAACAGGGATACAGATAGAGAGAAGAATAAGGTCGAGAGAGAGGAGAGGATGAGAGAGAAGAAGACGAGAGAGAGAGAGAGAGAGAGAGAGAGAGAGAGAGAGAGAGAGAGAGAGAGAGAGAGAGAGAGAGAGAGTGATGGGTAGAGCAGAGTAAGTGAAACGTGGGTGGCGTTGACCGTAGACTTTCTCACCGCCTGCCTGAAATACTCGTGTCGGGTCGCGTCAGTCTCCCATACATTAATTCCTCTTACACATTAGCCAATTCCTTACCCTATAGACGTACCTAATCACTGTGTTGTTCCCTATAAGCTGAAGATTACTGTGGTCTAATATTAAATGCAGAGATAATGTAAATTTTTTATGGAGTTTGATCGTGAAATTACTTGAAGAATATGACGAATCTATCAGGTGAAATAAACAAGATTTAATTAATATACATTTTTGTGGGCGATAAAGACCAAATTACGAATATTTTAGTTGAAGGAAACGAAACTGCTTGAAGAATTTAGCTGAGGCAAATGATAAACCTTGATCAAGAAATTAGCTGAGGCAAACGACAAGGCTTGACAAAGAATTCACCTGAGGGTTCTAATCATAAGACAAATTTTCAGAAGATTTGTAGTTCCAAGATTTTCTTTGGCTTAGGACGAGTGAGGACATTTCTGATGCATGAAACTAAGAATTTTACCATTGTATCTGTCTCAGAAGCCTCAGAATGGAGGAAACTGCAGCGGGCCTATTGGCCCATATTGGGCAGTCCCATTTACACCCATCCCCTATTGCTCATATATCTATCCAACCTATGTTTGAAGCTATCCAGCGTATTCGAGTTAATGATGATATTTGGTAACTTGTTCCACTCGTCCACTACTCTGTTTCCAAACCAATGTTTACCTATTTTGCGCCTAAATCTAAATTTGTCTAATTTAAGACCATTGTTACGAGTTCGCTCCTGGTTGGATAGTTTGAGTACCTTTGTAATGTCCCCTTTGTTTAGCCCTGACTTCCATTTATACACCTCTATCATATCGCCCCTCACTCTACGTCTCTCGATGGAGTGCAAATTAAGATGCTTTAAGCTGTCTCTGTACTCAAGGTTCTTAATGCCCGGGATTAGTCTTGTATTTCTCCTCTGAATTATTTCTAGGGATTCTATATCCATTCTGTAATACGGTGACCAGAATTGAACTACGTAATCCAAGTGAGGTCTCACAAGCGCAAGATATAGTTTTAGGATGACCTCGCTAGTCTTGTAACTAACACTCCTTTGTGTGAACCCAAGTACTTTATTAGCCTTGTTTCGAGCAAATACACGTTGTTTACTTAGCTTAAGATTCCTACTCATCATTACTCCTAAACCTTTCTCACATTTGGATTTCTCAATAACATCGTTGTTCATCTGGTATCTGGTTTCCCTGTTTACATCTCCTATACTGAGTTCTTTACATTTGTCCACATTGAATTTCATCTGCAATTTTTCAGACCATTCGAAATATTTCTTTAGATCTCCCTGTAGTTGTGCGGAGTCCTCCTCAGATTTAATTACACGCCCTATTTTAGTGTCATCAGCAAATTTACTTATGTTGCTGTCTACGCCGATATCTATGTCGTTTATGTATATAATAAATAATAATTGTCCAAGTACTGAGCCTTGGGGAACTCCAATAATGACGTTGCTCCAATCGGATTTAGTGCCGTTAATGCTCACTCGCTGTTTCCTGTCCTATAACCACGCCCTCATCCATTTTAGAATATCTCCTTTAATGCCATGAGCCTCCACTTTTCTTATTAGTCTTTCGTGGGGGACTCTGTCGAAGGTTTTGCTAATGTCGAGATATACCACATCATAATTGTGCACCTCGTCCACTGATTCGAAAACAGATGAAAAGAATGTTAATTGATTAGTTAGACATGAATGTCTGCTTGTAAAACCATGTTGGGAATCATTGATCATCTTGTGCTTCTCCAGGTGAATTCGAATAGAGTTTGAAATGATTGCTTCCAGTAATGTGCCTACAATTGATGTTAGACTGATTGGACGGTAGTTAGAGGATAGTGATCTATCTCCCTTCTTGAAAATCGGTATTACATTCGCTATCCTCCAGGATTCTGGTACTACACCCGTTTTTAAGGACATGTTAAACAACTTTGCTAAGGGCATACTAAGCTCTTCCTTACATTCCTTTAATACTTTGGCAAATATCTCATCGGGACCAGGTGACTTATTAAGCTTTAGTTTGTCTATTTGCTTACTAACATCGTTACTAGTCACTACTATCTCGCTTAATTTATTTTCTTCACTCAAGAGGTAGCCATCGTACTCAAGGGCTTAAGACATCTTATTCACTGGGCTAGTTGATTAGTACTCAATGGATTAAAAGTCATCGTAGTGAAGAAGTTAAATCATCGTACTCAAAGGATTAAGATATTTCTCTGGGTTAATTCATTGTACTCAGAGGGTTAAGTCATACTTAATCAAGGGGTTAAGAGTGCACAATACTGCTAAGTGCAACAGGGTGGATCAGTGTGTGAGGTAGTGTAGGGTGGCAGGTCTTACCAATGTGGAGGAAATCGACGTTCTGTACCTGCCTGGCGTGTTGACTGTCCACTTATGAGAGAGGGGAGAGTTAGCTGGACGCACCCCTCACCCGCCTGCGTGCTAGTCTTCAACACGAGACTCCATCATTCCCCACCACCACCACAAGTCACCACCACTACCTACTACTACCACCACCACTACTACTACTACTACTACTACTACTACTACTACTTCCACCACTACTACCTCCACCACTATTACCACCACCACCAATCACCACCACCACCAATCACCACCACCAACAACCATCCACCAATTAGGGAAACATCAAATAACAAAGAAACATCAATGGAATTGAGAAAACAGTAATGAACTTTAAAGTATACGGTAAAGAGGGGTTGGTAATGGCATGATTAGAGGACAGGGAGTTTTGGGGACTTTTGAGGACTTTGGGGAGACTTTTTAAGTACTTTTGGTCACTTTTGGGGGAGTTTTAGGATCTTTTTTTGTACTTTTGGGGACTCTTGAGGTCTTTGGGGACTATATGGGACTTTTGGGTACCCTTGGGGACTTTAGGGGAATATTGGGGACTCTTAAGGATTTTTGAAGACTCTTGGGGAATTTCGGGGAACTTTTGGAGGACTTTTTGTGACTCATGAGGTATTTTTGGACTCTTGAAGACTTTTGGGTCCTTTTAGAACTTTTTGGGACTATTGGGTACTTTTGGGGACTTTTGGGGGACTTTGGGGGACTCTTGAGGACATTGGGGGGACATTTGGGGACTCTAGGACGACTAATGGGGAGTCCTTGGTGTGGTGGTGGACGTTAAAGATCACCGTGGGAACAATAGTTAATATCAACGCCTTAGTACACCTGGCATTATACCAGCATTTATGAACTGTGCGTGTTGCTCTTATTGACAATACTCAATTCCTTTATACTGATGTTAAGTGGCGTACTACTTAACGCTCGTGTAAATTGCTTCTTCTACTACCACTAGTACTGTTATTTAAGGTTCGTGTAAAGTGTTTCTACGACTACTACTTTTTTAAAGTTAGTGTAAAATACTACTACTACTACTATTTTTTTTTTTAATAGTGGCCTCCAGCCTCCCCCAATAGCCACACCTTCGCCGCCATTTTATTACCTTAATATTAAATATCCTAATACATGAGTAGCTATCCTAGCTGTGTTGAATTAGTTGAGCCGCAGATCTATGCACCATTCAGTGACTGTAGCCTCATAGTCAATATCTGCAGCTGATGTCGGCTTTGGAGCCGAAGCTCTCGTTCCCCTGAGGCAGAGCAAAGCCGACTGAAGGAGAGAGAAGGACAGTCGACATCTCATCCAGGCTGTAACATAACTTATGGGCTGCTGCTTCTGTTCAGAGATAACCTCCACGAGTCTGGCGTAGAAACATCTTGCACTTGGTCCCATCCCACCAGAGGTTGTGAACACTAAAGGAGTGAAGCTGCCTTGATCAACGTTCTGAATTCTCTCCCCATATGCCCTTATCTTGTCGTTCTCGTTCCTCCTGTGTGCAGCATCGAGAGCTAAGTTACGATGACATGCGGCCATGGGATCAAAAATCCTGATGTCGAAGAAAGCTCGCTGTCCCCGCGTCCAGAATCCTCTAGCACTGACGTCCACACGGGCTTCGTTAGATGTGTTTGAAGTCCTGTGTTGGAAGATCTCACCATCCAATGGAAGGAGGGTCGGTTCTACCATGACGTCCCGGCAGATTTCCTTCAACATATTTGCTGTGAGATCCCTTACCTCGTCATGCCTCATGCACATGAAGCCCCCCTTCTTGCACACCATGGCGTGATCGCCATCATAGGAAGAGCCACACACGCATTGGGAGGGCAAACCTCCTACTGGCCGACCGTACCTTAGAGCAATGGCATCTATAAATTCTTGTTTATTAAGACTGAAACCATTTGCCCTTATCGGTAACGTAGTTAACCAGTTCGAGGCGCCCACCTCCTGCGTTATAGCTATTTTTTTTCAAATTTTCTGGAACCTGCAGCAATAGTTGCTGCAACTTATCATTTTGGCACTACTACTACTACTTCTACTACTACTTGGAGGAGCGACCGTCTTCAGTATGGCAGCAGTCAGTAGGAGTCACGGTGGCCCTGAGAGAGAGAGAGAGAGAGAGAGAGAGAGAGAGAGAGTAAAATCGTCTTGCATATATCACAAATAATAACGACACAATAATTCACTTCGACCAATAATAACAAAGGTCCATTACAAACTAATTTCCATACTGATCTTTTGTATAGCCTGGAGGACTAATAATAATCAACAATAAATACTCTTAAACAAGTTAATAAATTGTAACAAAGACTTCATTGGTACACCCAGGGGTCAAAAGTTCACTCCCTCCCAAACTGAAGCAGTGTCGACCCCTAAATGAAATCAAACAACACACCGGCACCATTACTTGTAAATAAACTTAGAACATAAGAACATAAGAACATAAGAAAATAAGGAGTCTGCTTAACTATAGTGCGTTTTTTTTCTCAGCTGGGAAGACCCCCCCCCCCCCCTTCAGCCCCCTCCTCAAGAGTTTCAGCTGATTAGCTGTTGCAAATCTGTTTGATTTCGTCCTGAAGTAATGTTGTATTTCTAAATGAGTTTGTTCATAATCGTTGCCAGACTTTAATAACTTACACACCAAAACTATGTCAATGTTGCATAGTGACTCTATATAGCTTAAATACCTGAAGCAATAACACTGTAACGTAAGTCAACTGTCATGGCGTCAGATGTATTACAGGACTAAATGATGATAATAATAATAATAATAATTGTATGTCCCTTAACTTTACTGCTCAGCTGACGTCAAGGTTAAAACTCGAAGACATCAGAGCAATGCAGTAAAAAATAATACCTTGTTAAATTGGTGGTAGTAGTAGTAGTAGTATTGCATTCTGTCCATAAATCATATAAATATGTTTGCGCTGGTTCAGCCGCCACTCAGGGGAGTGAGCAAGTAAACAATAACTTCTGAAGTCCTGTGCTGAGGTTCCACACGTGTCAGTCATTAAGAATCAACTTTTAACTCATTAACAGAGCTAGTTGACTAGTTCACAGAGTATTAACTGTCTGACCTGGATTTATTTATTTTTTGTGAATGGCCATCCCGACTATGTTCATTGATTTTGCCAAGGCTTTCGACAGCGTTCCCCATGAAGGCTTAGAATTAAATTGTAAGGGTATGCGATTCGGGGAAGTGCCTTAGCGCGGATCGAAGACTTTCTGCATGATTGCAAGCAGTGTGTGGTGATTAAGGGCATGAAATCGCCATGTGCACCTGTGACAAGTGGGGTACCACAGGGTAGTATATTGGGCCCGTTGTTGTTTGTTTGTTTCATAAATGATCTACCAGAAGCTATACACTCCTCCATACAAATGTTTGCGGACGATGTCAAGTTATTTATGGAAATTAAGAACCAAACAGACTGTGAAGAGCTGCAGGAAGATCTCGGTGAGCTTTAAAAATGGTCGAAGAAATGGATGCTAAGATTCAATGTCACGAAGTGTAAGAGGCTGCACCTGGGTCATACCAACGGTAAGGGGGCGTATCACATGTCCCAACGGGACGAAGAAACTGCATTAATAGAGACCGAATGTTAAAAGAACCTGGGTGTGTGTGTTGTCATTGAACTGAAGGTGAACATTCTTAATAACTCATATCGTTTTATCACAGCTGAATGATCGTCATACTCGATTACGAGTGACAGCAAAGTAGTAGTAGTAGGCTGCAAGGACTCGGGCGCAATGCCTGGCAACGCCGTCCTATGCCCGCGGCCCACCTTTAGTCAATAGACCCTGGGGTTGGCGCAGATTAAATGATGAGAAAATTCCGAATCGACTCTCACCCCACTTGGCACCTACTTTTACTTTTTATCATCTCTTAAAAAATTATTTATTGTTCAAATATTAATATTTTTGTAACACTTACCACACCATCAAAACCATTATATAATATATTGACAAGAAGATATAAATTATCATTGTATTAATTACATATTTGACATCAAGCCATTATTCTGATTGTCTGTCCCTTTGCTTCACCCTAACACAGCCCATGTTGTATTGCTTCCCTCACCTATCAGATTACTGTATATATATATATATATATATATATATATATATATATATATATATATATATATATATATATATATATATATATATATATATATATATATATGTAAGTGATAATCGTGGTCACATTCACATATTTATTTACTAACACCATGTTACATGTGCTAATCCACATGATACTAAATGTTATATATTAATTCCTCGAGATTAAGTAGTAGGCAGCTATCAAACAGGGAGGTACTACCGCCTGGGAAGATATTGGAAGCATAATGTGTTGTCTGATGGTAGACCCTGCTGCCATATGGCATCACAAAAATTGTGACCAAGTCCCAGGTTGCTGATCTGACTTTCTGCCATTTTTACACACAATTGCAAGGTCTCAATTGTTTCTCTTACTTTGACAACACAACTTATACATCGTTTCTCACTCTTGGTTTTTATTTTTTCAAATTTCTGTATTTATTTTTGGTTCAATATTTTTTTAGCCCCCAGGCCCCGGTGTGGGTCGGTGACCTGTGCCTGGGTGAGCTAATCCCCGGAAAAAAAAAAAGCACTGTATATATCATGCCCACAGTGCCAACATTACGAAACAGACACACGACCGAACTCCCAAGCGGCTAACAGGCCAATCAGTGGCAAAGAGAATACAATAAAATAAAGTACAGTACACTAAAGTAAAATAATTGCTACGGTATATCATACAATCATAATAAAAAGTAAAGAAGTCTTCCCATGCAAAATTTACATTTTCTTCTATTCCATCAGAGAAAACGGACGTAAATAAACAGTTTCATGAGTGAGTTTAAATACGGTACTTAAATGACTTTGAATGAGTTTAAAGGTGTTACCGTAGTATTAAAAAGACCAACCAAGTATAACTTTAATTTAACGAACAATAATAATAGCAATAATATACAGTAGGCCATTTGCGAGGGAAACATCATAGAAAATTTTTTTTTTAAATTGTCTGAACTATTTATTGCAAAGATAAAATTCTTGAGATTCTTTCGTGGCAATAATAATAATAATAATAATAATAATAATAATAATAATAATAATAATAATAATAATAATAATAATAATAATAATAATAATAATAATAATAATAATAATAATAAACTGTTTCGAATAATTATCATGTAGTTAATTCAGGACAGAGTTAAATTAGAGAAATTAACCTTAGTTGTAGAAGTTTTTATATAAAAAAAATTCACAAAATGGAACTTTAGTTAATTTTTGCAAAATGAATTTTACGTTACAGATAATGAACAAAAAATTTGAAGAATAAATGGATATCAGGATTATTAGGAACCCTAGTACTAAAGAGCCGATCATTTAGTGAAGAGAGTAAAGAAAAAGATTAGAAGTTAGGAATGGTCACAAAAAAATTTAGTTAGATTTGAATAGGTTAGGTTAGATTGAATTAGTTTGAGTTAGATTAGATATGTTTGGTTAGGTTAGATTAGATTAGGATAAGTTAAGATTTAGTTAGAATAGATTATGTTAGGTCAGATTAGATTAGTTTAAGTTAGATTAGATTAGGATACATTAAGATTTGGTTAGGTACTACTGCCTGGGAAGATATTGGAAGCATAATGTATTGTCTAATGGTGGACCTTGTTTAGGCTGCCCATGGGCCTCCACAGGTCTAAATCCGGCACTGATTATATTTATGCTGTTTAAGTCTAGTTATAAGTACTTTACCCGTCTGGCCTAAGTAGATCTTATAACTAGACTTAAACAGCATAAATATAGTGTTAGGACAGGCCAGGAATCCAATCCAGGGTCTAGTAACTTCCCCCAACATCAAGGATTTCTCTCCATGTTTGTTTGAGTTGGTTACCAAGACAACGTAAGGCAATAAGAGATATAAAAATATTAAAAACCTTATATAAAATCTCTTTAGATATTACATCTGACTAAAGTTTTGGTTTCTATTGTTCTTAAAATATATATTCGATGCTATTTTGTTTACTGATTCACGTGAGTGGTGTTTGGAACATTGTCTTCTGGCGTCTATGAATACCAACACAAACCTTGGAGGCCACGGTAGTTGGACAGTGTCTCGTTAACGGGTGTAATAGGGTGAATTATCGGTGAATATGTGGAGTATTTAGGGAGTTATAGTCTTTGAAGAATATGAGTGCATCTGTGGACCCTGGGTTATTGAAGAAAACTCAAGAACAACTTGGGAAATATGTTAAAAAACCACCACTGACAGATAAACTATTAAACAAGCCTCCTTTTAGGTTTATACATGACATTATCAACGTGGTGAGTAATTAATAACATTATATATTATAATTAACATCAGTTTATATCATTTTATGTTTATTATTATGATCAAAGTACATGGGAACGGTTTCATTTACTTGTAGATGTTTTTATATGGGAATTTTACCCAAAGTTTGTTATTGAATATACAGTAATTAATATCCTTTTGTGAGGTAAAGAAAAACTACTTTGACATTATTTAGAAAAAGCAGCTGATAGGTTGTTGCTTCAGCCCCATTGGCAGTCTAAAAAAATAGTAAAGTATGAGGAAACCGCTACCACCAGAGGGAGTTGTTCAATATTGTTCATTTCTTTTCACAGGTGTTCTTATCATTATAGTATTTACTTTAAAAAAATCAACGTTTACTAGAACAGAATAAAACCTGACCTAACCATCCAAAGAAACCTACCTAACCTAACCTAACCTCTTCCTCCCAGACCCTCTGCCATATTAAACAGAAAGTGGTTATTTTAATATCTGGTACCAATGAAAGTAGCATTGTTAAAGCATCATGATGTAAGGTTACGGTGTTTTTTTTTTTGTGGACGTCAAAGTACGCCCAGACCAAGCAGGTCGGTTGTAAACAAACACCAGACAATAACACCTGCAAACTATGGCAGATTTTTTTTTTGGAGTATTTATGGCAAATAATTAAGTTCTTCCCATACACATGTACACACATCAGTTTAGTGTTTTTATTATCAGTTTTCACCGTGTTTTACCCTGAAATTTCCCACAGCCTTCACGCCCTGCCCACTATAGGATGATTTATGATCGTAGATAGAGAAAAACTAAAAAAAAAAATCTTATAATTGAACAAAAATTTGTCGCCTCTTTTAAAATATTTACTATAATGATGATAACATCCTTGGATAAAATAAACAACTCCTTCTGGTTGGGAGCAGTTTCCTCATAGCTGACCAAAATATTGTGCATTTCCTGCTATAAAATGCCAGGTATTAGTTTTTATTAATTACTCCTGTAATTATCAGTATATCTTAGTGGTAAACTGTGTTACTGTCACTGGTCGGTACATCATAGGCAGATGTGTCCACCAGAATTAAGGCAACTAACTGTTATATCAGCCTGTACAAAGAATGTTAAACACCCAAAACTGAATATCCATTTAGAGCGGTCTCACAGTCAGTTTATTCGCGACTTTGTGATCCGTGACTATCGCTACGACGCCACTGATCAAAGGGATGACTCCGTCACTGACCGTGTTAATTTCATTTTACTCTTAATTTTTTTGCCCCCAATGCCCCGTTGTGGGTTGATGACCTGTGCCTGGGTGGGCTATTATTCCCAAAAAAAATCTCCTTAAGTAATTATTTTCTTAACATAACTTTGACTTAAGTAACTTTTCCAGTACTTTGCCCACCACTGCTTAGTGACGTCAACCTATTTTGCTGATCCACCTTCTTCATCCTTGAGAACTCATTCAGTCATTTCTGAATGTGTGTTGTGTACTCACTTTACATTGAGAACTACTGAACCATAAGATATCATGATTATTTTATTTATTTCAGGTTATATCAGAGACTGGATTTCTCTGCTCTACACTGATGAAGAACTTAGCTCTCAGAATATAAAGGACAAAGAAGCCAAAGTAGTTTTCTTACAAAAATGTATAGATGCAACTGGTAAGTGTTAATTTTTTATAATTATTGAAAACCTGGTGAGAATGAAGGAAGAAATATATTTAATGGTAGTGCAGCTTTTTGTGGTTAATGATGGTTATCTCTGACATCCTTCATATATCCCAAAGTACTTATACACCCACATCTTGTTTGTGCTGTATATACTGTACTGCACTAGTGACCTTCCTCTGTTTTCCTTTTTGGCTACTTTGTTTGTGTGTGTGGGGAGGGGGTAGGTGTTTATAGCTGGAAGTGTAAAACCATAGATATCACTGTATGAGGCAATTAGTTGATCTGGGAGGTGAATCGTATAGGGCAGGGGTGTCAGCTCATTTGCCAAGGCGGGCCAGATTTAATATGAGTACACAGTATGGCCAAGTAACATAATTATAAGTATCGCAATCACCTCTTAGGTGAGTAGTACGACAAAATAAGAAAGGTGGATTTAGTCTGCCCTCGTGCTGAAACCCTTAAAAACAAACAAATCAAGTGTTTACTTACCTTGATCAATCTTATTGTTTGCTACTGCTGCTTCCTGATAATTGGCACCTCTTGGTATGGACCAGTGCATCAAAGTTTGGCACTAACGACTGAGCTGTAGCAACCTTCAGTATTGAATTACAAAGATCAGTAAGTTGAGACTGAAGCCGAGACTTGTTCAAGTTCATCATAGAGAAGAGTTGTTCACAGACATACTGTACTTCGAACACTGACATAATCTTTAAGGCAAACCATTTAATCCTGGGATAATTTGGTCCAAAATATTGATAAAATGTGCCAACATCAACACTCAAAAACCTGTTCCTCAACACAGAATCACACTGGAGCTCAATTATTTATTCAGCTGAAGGATACACTTACTATTTAGTTTTAGCTCCTCAAGGTAAGGCTTGCTATGGGTCGCATGCAAGAGTGTGTCGGGTCACATATTTGACACCCCTGGTATAGGGCCTACTGTTTGTTTTATACAGTATATGATTGACAGTAAAGCAGGGTTTACCACAGCAGGTAGTCAGCAGCTCAGTTCATTGCTTATTTACTGTATATAATACTGCCACTTCCACAGACTTGGACGTCCCTCCCTGCACCTAAAATAAATAAATAAAAAGTACAAAATAAAAATGGAACTTTAATGTACATTAAACACAAATCTCTAAGAGTCTAAATAGTCCCAGACTCCCGGCCACTGAGATTACTTGTAACTTAACTGGGTCCAGTCAGTCTATTCTTCATTTCCTTAATAAGAACCTTTTTATGTAGATATTAGATAAAAATGAATTGATGAATTGCAATATGATTGTAGGATTTATGGTGTACTATTTTAATACTGTACTATACCTTTACATTACAGTACTTATTTTATTAAATCTTTCAGCTTTAGCAACTGGGGAAAACTTGGGAGTACGGCCAAGTAAGGTTGTAGCCGGCCATGAAGCTGACAAGACAAATGAGTGGCTTCAGGCCTTGGGCCAGGCAATCACACAAAAGGTAAGAGGTTGCTCAGGTGTTTAAATTTCTTTTGAAGGAATCAAATTATTAATTATTAAATTATGCAGTTTAGAAATTTTTTAATGATTTTTTTTTTATTGAACACCCAGATCTTTTATGCATATTGCTACACTTAGATTTGAGTATTAAAATTATTAGAATACTGTGTGTATATATATATACAGTGGGGGCATGCTATAACCTAAGGAAATTCCTACAACTAACATTATTTAAAAATTTTTTATTAATTTATTGTTTTTTATTACAAATATTAATGATATTCTTTATTTCAGGGTTTAGATGCATATTTATGCACTTTTTACAATTTTTACAATTTTATATTATATTTTTCAGTGTTAAGTGGTTGTATTTGGGGCCTGAATGGATTAATCCTATAATCTAACAAATGCTATAATGAACAAGGTTCTAGAACCAATTAGATTCGTTATAGCATACCCCACTGTGTATATATATATATATATACAGTATATCAAGAATTATGTATAGTAGACAGTATTATTATGAGATCGACGAGACTTATCTTGTAAAAATTCTTCCTTAGAGGATATATATGTGATGAGAACTGCCTGATGCAGTTTCTACATGAAGTACAGCCAATCCAAAAAGTATAGAGACCCCAGGGTCCAGTGAAATAGAAAGCAAGCGATAACCTCAGATGCCTGGGGTTTCGATACTTTTTGGATTGGCTGAACATGGCAGTGAGTTCGCAGCACCAAGGAAAATGATAATAATGTGATGTACTATACTGTATTAAGTTTTCATGGCATGTTTCTAACAGAACTTATGTTTGAGAAGAAATTAAGCCAGCAAGTGGGTTTTAACTTTGCAGTTTTATAGCTGTGCAATAACTTTGGTAACTTCCCTGCAAGCACAGAAAGGTAATACCCAGCTGAAAGTTAGAATAATGCTGGATTTTGGTGACTTCCTGTGTGATTCTTAAATGTATCAGTAGAAAGTAAAGTTTCTGTTATAAAAGCAGTTGTTTCTAATAACCTTTAATTAAAATTCTATGAATATTTATATTTACCTCTACCGAATTTACCTCTGATAATGTTTTCTGAGTGTCTATAACAGCCCATGGGTCACCAGATTAAGGTCAGGCTAATCATATAAGTTATTATCAACAACTCAACAAGAATCATGCATAGTTAATACAATTTATGAGCATCTTAATATACCTGTATGTTGTACGGTATAAAGATGTTGCCCTTGATTTCAGATTGATTCCTCCGAGGCTGTTCAACAAGTGCTTAGCGGAGTCAAGCCGGGGAAGAGCAAAAAACCCGATAAGGAAAAAGTGGATAAAAAATCGGATAAAGGAAAGAAACCGGTATGTACAGTATGAGAGACATTATCATGATTTTCTTGAGTGTAAAGTGGTAAATCTGTGTAATACAGTACAGTTAACCTCTGAATTCGCCCCAGTGAGTAAGAAGATATCTTTACACCTTGAGTACAATAATTTAACACCTTGAGTACAATAATTTAACACCTTGAGTACAATTATTTAGCACCTTGAGTACAATTATTTAGCACCTTGAGTACAATCATTTAACACCTTGAGTACACTGATTTCATCCCTTGCAGACAGTTTTGTAGGACATTGAATTATGATGACATTGTACTCAGAGATAAGTCATCTCGGGCCAATGGGGTTAAGAGTCATAGTAGCGTAGAACTTCACTTCTTGATAGATAACTACAGAAATCCAATTGGTGGGGATCTAAATGGTTATAAAGAATGATCAGCTTTGTTTGTCATCCGTTCCCCTCCTCCCCCAAAATAAGTTTCTTGACCTGAGGCATCTTGTTCCTGTTGATGAATAACGTGTTTTAGATTCCTATCCCTTTTGATGAGTTTTTCTTTTCTCTCATTTGCTTCATTATAGATGCTCATATTTTCTTTATTTAAGTTTTGTATTGGTCTGTTTTTTCTCGACGAACAGTAGGTTGCATTTTGGCTTTCTTTGGATACATTTCATAGTCTGCCCCTTATTTTTTTCCTTCGTTACTTTGTGGATCAGTTCAACACTTATCATTCCATTTGCTGACATACCCAGATGTCTGAGGCATTCCACTAACATACTCTTAGATTACATTCTCTGCTTACTTTCATCACTTTGCTTTTTTCTCACATTTGCTCTTGTATTTCTCTTACATACACACAAGGTACTTGAATAACAATGTCATTTAAAAATACAACTTACTCACCTTCTATTTACGTATCATATGATTATACGGTATACACCAAACTTGCACCTCCGCTCTTTCCATCACTCTTATACTGCCCCGGCAAAGAACTCTATTTTTCTTTCTTTTTTTCATATATACAGTATATTTTTTTTATGAACTTGTATGATTTTCACAATACAGTACATCTTCAATTTAGTGTTCTGATGGTTCATATATAATTTGTTTGGTTAATATTTCTTTATAGACACTTGAAAGTTTACATTTTTACTTGCAAGTTAGTTTTAAGTATAAGTTGCTTTTCTGACATATTTATTTTTAATGTTACAGAATGTTTTCTTCTGTGCCATAAATATCTTTTTAATTTTTTCTTTTCTAGGCAGCTGCAAATAATAGAGGTGTCAGTGATAGTGACCCAAATTCAACCAAAGACCCAAATCCCACCAAAAATATTAAACCTTCCCAAGATCCCAAACTTAACAAAGACCCTAAATCAACTAAAAACCCAAGAGCTTCCAATAACCCTAAAACAGTCCAAGGCCCCAAAGGCAGGGAGTCCAGACCAACCCGAGACCCCAAAGAGACCAGAGAACTCAGAGCGGGCAAAGAGTCTAAACCCTCTCAAGACAAAGGCTCTCCAGTGAAGGTATTCTGGAAAGGTCGTATGTGTTGGGCTTACTGTGTCACTTTGTCCTTTTTTAAAACAAAGCTCAATCAACAGGTGGAGTTATTTCTGCTGTCATTTCAAAACTTTCTACTTGTTCTAGGAGAAGCATTTCCTAATCCTGTCACTGGTAAATCTTACACAGCATAAATCATTGAGAACTCTGTCTTCAAAGTTGAGCAAGATTTTTATTTGTATGCCTTGTGTATTGTGATATTGCATTAATACGCTCAAAAAACTTTTCAGTATGTATAAATACATTCTGTGTGTGTGTGTGTGTGTGTTTCTGTATGTTCTTTATGCATTTTCACATTTCTGAAGATGGAGAGCTGAAATTGGTTAGGGGGATGCAGGTAGCCTAGGGGATGATCATACACAATCACCTTTCCCTCCATGAGAGGTGGGTGGGGCCAACCATGAACCCTTACAAGCAGGTTGGTCCACATTTTGGAAGATGGAAAGCTGAAATTTGGTTGGCAGGTGCAGGTGGACTAGGGGATGGTCATACACTGTGTTCTGTCTTCCATGAGGAGGGGGGGGGGGTGGACTAGGGGAAGGTCTTACAATATCTCTTGTTCTTCTAGGAGGGATGAGTTGGATGCAGTTTCACAATTTTGAAGATAGAAAGTTAAAAAAAAAAATGGAGGTGTGGGTGGCTAAGGGAATGGTCTTACACTGTCTCCTATCCCTTCGCAAGGGGCAGTTTGGCCTCACAAGGACCAACCACAACTTCCCACCAATGGGCTAGTCCACAGTTTTGAAGGTAGAGAGTAGAAATTTGGTCGAGAAGGGAGGGTGGACTAAGTAATGGTCACGCTCCCTCTCCTGTCCCTCCACCTAGGCAAAGCTTGGTAACTCAGCTAGTACAGTAAAGTATATAATTTAGTCCTTTATCCCTTTATTGTACAGTACTGTACAGTGTTTCTTTGTGTTTTTTACTTTCCCCAAACAAATTAGACTATTTTTTTAATGAAAGAGTTACATTTTTAATGGTGTAAACAACATACAACCATTTATCATTGGTGATCAAACTTGTCTCTCCATCTATATGAAAATATGTGTATCCTTGTGTAAAAGCCTTACACTATTCACAGTTAAGTGAGTTTGAATACCAGCACCAAGCCTAAAAGAAACTAGAATAAATCTATATATCCCTTACCTTTACTTCACTCACACTTTTATATGGGATGAATCAAAGGACACGGAAACCTTAAGAAAGGGCTGGAAATACTGCGCTGTAAGAGAGTGATACAAGACAAGTGTCAAATATCAACAAGAATGGTTGAAATATACATATATACCACACTCTCACTTCTTTACAGTATATAAAGTAAAAAATTTTATACTGTTGTGCCGTATGATCATAAATGGGGTATTGGATCATAAAATATGTGATGCAGAGGTGCTGAATGGGGGGGGGGGGCAATGTCCAGATTAGATAGAATCACCTTTTCTTTTAGAATTAATAGATCCAGTTGTGTTTGGAAGAGTTCGTGATTGTAATCCCGATACTATATTCTGAGCATGAGAGAGCGGCTTTGTCATGGCGATTACCATAACGAGTGTTGTAAATATCAGAGCCACATGCTCCTCTCTCTCTCACATGGAATTTTAGGATTCAATCTCTCATTTTCTATCCCTTTTCTTTTGGCGTACTGTACTGGATAATTCTCTTCATACTCATAGTTTTTTCCACTGGAGAGGTATGAAATTAAACTTACATATAGGTTTAGATATGATAAACTCTTATGCTTTTTACATTACTCATGTTTGTATCCCTGTAATATGCTTTGCCTTTATAGTTTTGTTGTATAATTATCCAGATGTGAGAAGTCTTGATTGCGTGTGATCTCTCTTTGACTCTATCTCTCTGTTACCGTTGTTGCTGTGAGCTTTGTTTTAAACCCGAGCTGTAAATAATGATTCACTGCTGCTGCAATCATTCTGAAATGTTTTATGTATTCTAATCCACCAGCAAAGATACTTGTGTTTGTAAATCTGACTGAATAATTTGTAATTACAGTACAGTATATGGTAACATACTGTATTTTTACACAACCCAAGCTTATGTTTAACGTTCTTTCCATTTAGACATGTTTATAAAACTGTTTATCCAAGCATGGAAGTATGATATGCAGATTGAATTAAAAATTAGTGAATGTTTAACTAAAAACACTTGAATGTTTTTTTATATCTAAAATCAATACTCTGAATATATAGATAGCTATGCATCAGTGGCACAAAATCACTAAATTTATTGCTTGGTGATGTGATATACAAATGAAGAAGGAAATTGTTTCTAGATAAGGAGACTGATTGACCTTGATTATCCAGGAGAGATAAATGGATGTTATTACATAAGAATGAAGGAAACTGCAGTAGACCCATACTAGGCAGCCCATCATTGGCTTCATCTGTACTGTACAGTTCACAACACTTCCTTTCATTGAGTTTTATGTAGAGTCTGTTATGTTCTCATCTTCCTTGATCACATTATTCTTGTACAAGTGTTTGGGTCATTCAATGCTAGGAGAATAAAATAAGAATATGGCTTCATTGCATATCTTCACCACTCTTCTCTCATATTTATTTCTGGTGTTCTTTCTCATTCCTTTTTCTCCATGTGTCCATATTGCTTTTTTACTTCATTTTATTTCTATTTGCTATCTTCCAATTTTTTATTAAATAAAAAATGTCAAGATCTAATAGTTTTATCTAAAGAAATTAAAATTTTATAAAAGAATTCCCCAGATGGGCTTGCTACTCCCCAAATATTTATTACTGTACACATATTTGCCTCTTTTTGGTCTGTTAATCTCTTTCACCTCAGATGAGCCATCATGCACCTCTCCAGCCTTTACTTGTCAGAAGCAATTATCCTCTTTGGCAGGACAATACACTCATCATAGGCTTCACCTCTTCCTTTCATACTACAGTACATACATGGAGTACTGGAAATCAAGATCTTTTTAATTTTCTCTTCTTTTAGTCATATTTTGTTGTCATATAAAACATCTAATTTTTATTTTAGTTATATATACTTTTTTATTCTGATGGCTCATGACAACCATTCATCCAAGACATATGTCCAGTCTCTCTCTTCACAGTTATTATAAACCACAGCTTCACCATGATCCACAACTGCTGTGTATACAGTATGTCATATCTAATCATCTTGTATGTCTCCTAAGTACTGTGTACAATATACTCTTGTCTTCAGTATACCAGGATCTCTGAAGCTAAGCATGCACACTAAACTTTTGATGAATGCTTTTGCAAGCAATCTTGGGAGAGCAAGAGTTGGTCATTGGCTGTATGAGTTTTTACCTTATACTGTACTATTATAAAATTGTGAATTAAGCAATTTTACAAAATTCATTAATTTCTGATGGTGTTTACATCTGTAAACAAAATTAAACATGATTGTTGTTGCCAAAAATGTGTATTATGTTTTATTTTAGTGCATGAGAAGAGGCTCTCATAATGGGTAAAGACCTTGAATTATATTATCTGAATAGTTAAGCTAAGTTGTTCCAAACACTGAATCCTTACTAAATGGATTATTCAGTCAGCTTGAGTCAATAGATTATAGACTGTCAGATGTTATAATTTAAACATACATACTCCCAAAAAATAGTTTGCTCAAATATGGTGGATCTGTTACACCAGTACAGTAGCTACACCAATGATTGTTAGCTAGCAGATTCCATCCAGTCCTGTATCATCCCATCAGGAACTAAATTCAGTCACTCGTATGCTTCATCCTTTGTAAGTCTTATTCAACTCCCAATTTTTTTTTCTAATACTGTATTCTAAATTATGTAATTATCAGATCTTTTAAATCTATGTAACAACAGAACCATAAGGCCTGTGTCCTCTCAGTATCGTTGTATGGGTAAACCTCACACTCACTGTATTATGTGAATGTGTACAGTTTATGCATCTTGTTTTTATTTTCTTCAGAGCACGAGGAACTATAAAAAAATGCAAAGTTTAACAAAATTTTTAGTCATCACTTAATTTTACTTTACTTATCAAACACATACAATACTTTATAACTGGGCACATTATCTGTCATGGCATTACCACTGACATATTGAACTAAAGATAATATAATGTGTATGCTTATCTTAATTTCTCCATTGACCTACTAATATTAAGGCAGGGTATACGTTAAGCTAAACCTATGGCCAGCATACTCTACACCATCTCTCACAGTTATGATCAGGTTATAACTCCCAGGTGAGGATGGTTTGTGTACCTATGAGTTCTGTTATTACTACAGCAAGTAATACCTTTTGTTGCTCCTGAAAAATAAAAATTGGGGTATTTTTTTCTCTGCTTTGATCTGGTTTTATCTTGAACTACTTTACTGTCTCACATTATTAGTCCAGTCCCCACACTGTCCTTCAGTATTTGATATCTTCATTTCCCCTGTTTAATATTTCTCTACCTTGATTCTATTTCCATATTTTGTTTTCCTTTTTTTGTCTATGCTTGATGGAATAATTATAATTTTCTTAACTTAAATTTAAATTTCTTGGAACAATCAAATGTCTGTGGTTTCAGTCATCCTTCATAGTGATTATCTCAGTAGGTATTTGATTATTTTTCTTTAGGTTATTGAAACGGTCAGTAGTATTCTTAGTGTCTGTTTTGAATGGTGCAGGAACTCTGTGTGGGTGGGTGGGGGGGTGTGTGTGTGTGTGTGTTGGAATATTTTTTATTTAATTTCAAATCTCATTCACCAACACCATACCATGTAAACCTACTTGTGTGGAATTTCTGCATTGTTTAGGATAATTTTGCTGAAATACTGTGTAGAGATAAGTACTGTACTGTACTAATACACCTTCAGCCAAAACATGAGAAGGACTTAGTTGATGTAGCATGACAAAAGTTAACCTGAAGCCTTAATTATTCCAGACCTCAAAAGGCAAGGATGCCAAGGAGAAATCAAATAAAAAAGACAAGGGTAAGGAGAAGGAAGAAGGGAAAACCGCTAAGAGTAGTAGGGAGAGGAGAAGTAAAGATGGCGGGGATGATAAAGAAAAGAGGAAATCCAAGAACAGTTCACCTGAGAAAACTAAATCTAGCAAATCAAGGTCAGTACAGTTCAGTATTATACAAAACACTATTGAATATTATGTATTTATGTGCATGGGTAATCTGCCACAGTATACATTATTTGTAAAGATCCAAACTAAACTCGTGTGTGTGACGTATAGCTATCAAGGATGTAAAAAGAATGTGTGTGTGTCTGTAACTGTAACATTGTATTGGCAAATGTGAAATATGATGCCTTAATATCTTTTAAACCAACTAATTTTGCTAATATCTCTCCAGACCAACGAGTCGGATGGGCCAGGTGAAGGAGTCGGGGAAAGAGAACTCTCCGCCACATGAGATAATTGATGAAGGAATGATCCCCAATGGACATTCACCTATAGAGGAAGTGATGGTAATGTTCATGTGATTTTAAACTTTCCACAGACAGACATGATTAGAGGGAATTAACACTAGTGGTTCATAACACTTGCAGCTGCTTGGTCTGGGAAAGGAAACTATTTTATGGATACACCTTGACACTAGTTAGTTAATTTAGTTTTGTTGTGCATCAGATGTACAGGTGCTCCTCTACTTACGAACGAGTTACGTTCCTGAGGCTTGTTTGTAAGTCCAACCTTACTCTTGTAGATACCAAACATATTGTAAAAAATAAAAGATTATGGACATTTAGTACAGCTATACCCTTTAATACAGCCTTAAAACCTGGCTCACTCTTCTCCTCGTAGGTAATGTTTGTTTTATCTGGAATTTTCTTCAAAATAATTCAGTCTCATCCACATTAAACACCTGTTCTGGCAGGTAACCCCCATCAGTGATGATGTTTGTATCTCTGAAAGTTCGTAAGTTGAACCTTCCTAAGTAGAGGAGCACCTGTATGGGATATTTTAGTTAATAATTTTTTTTACAATTATCAGGGGGAAATTATTTTACTGTTAGAATACAGAGCGTCACCGACCTATGAACGCCCGCCGATATGAATGGGGTTAAGCTTGAAATTTACAGTAGTATTTTATTTACCTTATGACCTATTTTTTACTTTCATTTATTGTATTTTGTCATTTTGTTTCTTCTTTTCTCTTAAATTTAGTTATTGTAGATGTATATAGGGACTTAGGCTATGATAGAGTGGGATTTTAAACATTGTTCTGTAAGTATGATATGCTCATAGCAGGTGTTCCGACTTCTTTCCAAATCCGACTTAAGAACGTCCTCAGGAACAGAATTTGCACATAACCTGTGGCCCCCTGTATTGTACTGGTGGTCGGAGGTGATTGAATATTGATCATTCCTGACCACTGTAGGTAAAACTCTCATAGCTGGTATAGTTTCTACTGCAGTTCCTACTTTTGGTACCATACTCGAATAGTTCCTCTGGAGTCGACTATAGTGGGAAATTATAGTACAGGTATAGTATATATTAAATACAAATTACTTCATTAAGAACTAACCAAAATGGAAATTATTGAACATGGATCAAGCTGTTGATGACAGAAATTGGAGTTATGACTAATAACAAGTAGGCATCTGGCTTTGTCTAGAGGTATGTTGGTCTGTGTTTGTTTGTCTGTAAATAATGTTAAGTCCTCCGTTTTAAATTCAGTATTGTGGAGACTTGGTACAAATCTCTTGCTATGTAAGACATCAGATGGGATTTCATTAGTCATTGGCCCTGTCTGATGTTTCTGGAGTGACTAGAACATTGAAATATCACCTGCACCTTGTTCATTTATGGTCACACTGAGAAATAAAAGTCAGATTTTTTTTACTTGACTTGCCTCTTTGTCCTGAAATCTTGTGCAGTACAGCTAGGGATATGTCCACCTTTAATGCAGACATTCATTGGAGCTTTAGTTAAAAAGACTTATTATTCAGAGCTGGAAATTGCATAAAGGAGAAAGGGGTATTTTGGCTTTAGGAGCTAGATTTGTTTTTAAAAATTTCCTTTTGCCAGTGTAGCCATAATAGATTCTACTTATGGTTCAAGGAAAAAAGGAGAGTAGCGTAAAAGGCACAAAATTGTTCTAAAAAAAGAAATGTATCACAGAAAATGGGATCCACAAAGACCATAGATCATCAAAAACTTGCCTCATAACATTCTCTCACATGGAAGCCTCAACTTGCCTCTTGTTTTGTAATTTTTTTTTTTTGGGGTGGGGGGGGGTAAAGAGTATTTCTGTATGTAGATTTGTAGGTGTCTGTTGTCATTAGATCAGCTGGAAAAATCAGTATTATAGGCATGAGCGCCATAACCCATGACTTTCTTCCAAGGTTAATTAAAGGAAATTGAATTCTTACCTGCAATATAACATGTACAGTAATTAGATTTTAGTACACATAATTTTCTTTAATGAGGAAGATATATATATAGGGTACTGTACATGTATTGAAGTTGATCTGCATTCTAGAAATATATATATATATATACGTACTGTATATGTGTTTTGGAAGTTGATTTACAGACTCATTTTTCTTTTTATCAGGAATCACCCCCCAAATTGGACTCGGCAAGACCTCCCAGTGCCCGACCAGGTAAGAGAGGCAGATTCCAATGTTTTGGTTATTTTATTTTTTCCCCTCATTGTACAGTATCATAGTCCAGTACTGGTTAATTAAAATCTTTGTCAATCTGTGCTTGCAACTTTTCAGCTATGTAAACCCAGTATATTAAGTTATCAGCTCATAATGTACATTCTTAACTAACCTTTAAGTAACATCCAGATAGCTAGATTGATTACTCTGGAGACAGGTAAAGTAGCACCTTTATTTAAATTGAAAAGCCCTGTGATTTGAGTTTCAGCATTAATTTTAGAGAGTCAGCTGTGCAACAAGTTATGTTTTTTATAGACAGTATATAATAATATTTTAAGTTGTGTAATATACAAGAAACTTTATTTTTCTTTGTTCTCCCTTTATCAGATCTTAAAGCTTCCTGTGTTGAATAGTTGTGTATAATGTATATACTTGTACAGTACTAATCTCATTTTGGTTCTCTACACCGGCCCACTATTTAGAAATTGTATTTGCCATCATCCTTAGAAATTTTACCATTGATGAAAATACGTATAATGAAGTAAAGTTAGACCTTGACTTTGTGCTTGTTAGGATTAGAAAGAGGAGTCCATTTTCTTTCTTCAATTGTGGGTCATTACTGATTAATTACGACACAACTCACGGTCATCATTATCTGTACAGTTTATATATATATATATACATATATATATATATACAGTATACTGTATATATATTTTTTCATTTTGGTTAAAGAGTTCAGTATACCTGTAGTGTTGAATATTTTATTGAACATTCAAGTAAAAACTCTTTTGCTGGGGATATACTGTATAAACATGTGTAGATATTACCTAAACCTGACTATGAATTGTGTCTCTTTGTGTAGTTTGGCTAAGGCAGTTTTACTCCATGAGACATGTTTGGGATTTTTCACTTGTGCTAAAAAGAGGAAAATGTTAACATGGGAGGAGGAAGATAAGCTTAAAGAGTCATCTTTGGGTTTCATTGGTCCCACAATATTGTTCTTAAAAACTGTGTGCGTATTTAGATGATGTTTAGAGTGCATCTATGGGCTCCTAAATCAGTACCTTGAAAACTTATAACCTCAGAATTTAAACATACACCAAAAGATGAGAATTGGCATGACATTGATATTGAGACCATAGACACAGTTCCGAAAATAGTATAAGTAGTGCTAAACATGAGCCCCTGATATGACCTCTCAAAGCACTGTACAAAATAGACCTACCTACCCCAGAGTTGTAGTGTATGTTTTGGGAGACACTGTTCCGGAGTATATAAATAGCGATATGTACTATTTAATTATTATTTTAAAGTCAATTAAGCATGGCTGAAATGTTATAGGAAGATTCTACATGGGGTTGCCTCTCAAGGAAGTACAGTCTAGGTAATATATCTAGAATGTGGGAAAAATGTAGACGTATCAAACAACTTCCAAGTAAATGGTAACGTGATTCCTTGCAAAATCCATTAGAAATGACTCCGTGCTGTAATATTTTCATAGGTATTTTGTATTAATTCATTCACTCTTAATGATATTGTGTCATCCCTTTGAACCACTCAACTCCATGTTCTCCTGTTGTTGTTGTGCTCCACTGAATGGATGACAGTAAAGAGAAAGGGAGTTTGTTTTTCCACTTGGTACAAGCCACCCTACAGTATAGTAGGAGAGAGCCTGCAACACTGCAAAGAAAAGTAAAAAAAAATACTGTGTTATTAGTATGCCATATACAGAATCATATAAAAATCTTAGGGTATACAGTATAATATTACAATGAGTAATATAATGATCTGAAGAGAATCTCAGTCAGTTTTAAGTCTTAACACAGCATTTCAATATTTCTATTTTAGGAGATTTGTTTTAATTGAATTGTTTTAATTTATATCCTGAAATATTTTATGCTGGCACTGTAAAGTCAAGAATTAAGAATTATTCTTGGAGAGTGATCAGGTGTCAGACCATACACTGTAGACCACAATGTGTGAAAACAATTAGTAGTGGCTGCTATAAGGTTACCAGTCAATTGTCAATTCTGGGGTAACTTATTCGTTAGACCTGTTGAAACCAAACCAGTTATATCACTTTTATTGTTCCTATTAAAAGACCTCAGAGGGATACATTTTTTTATTCTTGATCCCCAGTTTACAGTCAAAATAGATAATTTTATAAGATAGTAATTCATCTTGGTATATAGATGGTAGTGAGGAACCTGCAGAAGGTATAGTGGAAGCGATAGATGAAGGCATAGTGACACAGGAAGCTCCCACAGATGAGTCAGAGGTTCCTTTACCAGAACCATTTGCTGATACACTGGATGATGAAGGTATTATATCTCAGACAAGAGGGAAAGTTTGTGTTCACTGCATAGCCATATGCAACCCCAGTTGAGGTGTAAAACAAAACTGGTTACATGTAGTGCAGAAAAAAAATAAGCATTTAATTTATTGATATTCTGCACATTGTACCCGGTATCATGAAAGTTGTTGTTTGTAATTACTAAATCTATTCATGAGTTTCCTTTTTATCGCCAAAATTGACTCGTGTATAGAAAACCTTACTTGAAGTAAGGTATAAACATCCAGTATTAATTTCTTCCTTGGGTTGCTGAAATATGGCTACAGTACGTATTTATTCTCACATTTTGTGTGCGTTGATGAGCACTTGAGCTTTATGTCAGACATGTATTTATATATAATGTATGGGTCTTACTCCTCAAGGATGGTTCATGCACATCCATATCCACTGACAGAAAGCTCAGCACACTTCAACTGAGGCACTCTTCTGATGCACTTACCCTCTCTCTCTGATCCTCCTTCCTTTTTGTTTCCCATATCTGCTTTTTTCTCACCGTATCCAGAGATATACAGTAGTTTAATTATTCATAACAAAGCTTCCATTTCCTCATGTGTCTTACATATACTGTACAGTACAGTACTTTATATTCCCTTTTTAATGGTTGTAATAATGTGAATGACTTTAATCTGTGTTTGGCATCACAAATAGCTTGAGACATGTTTTTGTTCAGCAGAGCAGTTAGTGTGCTTAACAGAACCAGAGCTTATAAGTCTGTTCCCTCAGAGACCACTCTCAACACTGCAGTAATGTATGAGAAGGTTTTTGGTTATTTTTACTGTTTATTGTACAGTAATTGATTGTGTGATCTTCACTGCACCATGTAATATATACATATGTACAGTATATATATATATATATATATATATATATATATATATATATATATATATATATATATATATATATATATATATATATATATATATATATATATATATATATATATATATATATATATATATATATATATATATATATATAATTTATATTTGTTACCTTTTTTTCAACTTTAGAGATAGCTTTGATTTTGATGGTTCCTGTAAGTGATTCAGGGCCCTTATTGGCTTTCCAGGATTTTACTGTATGCAAGCATTTATTTTCAACCAACGGGAAAACCAGGGTGACACATTATAACCATAACATTTCAAAGTCTTCTTAAGTATAATAGATTTGTAAAACTATGTAAAAGGTTATATGAAAAACCCAGGTAAATTCGTAAGAATTATGGTAAGTACAAGTACCTGAAAATGTTTTTGTGTTACTATTATTCTAAATATTAATAGTTCACATGATCATAAACAGTAGTCATTTTAGACAACAGACAAAAGCTGCACTGTTTGAACTCAGGCAATACTGTTGTGTTGTTTTCCCATGTTTGGGATATCTTCCTGCAACACCATAGTCCAGTTATGGAGAAGCCAGAGCTGTGACTTAGAGGAGCACAGTGATTCTGTGCCTACCATAGAATCACCAAGTATAGTCCACACCACTTATAAGCCACACAGACTGGCAGCCTCAAAATTCCTAGCTGGCAACTTTGCTGGGTGCATCCCTCACCCCACCTCGAGAAACACACAAATGGGGCTAATAATTGGTGGTCAGCCAAGGTGTAAATTCAACTCTTACCCACGAACACATTAGTATGGATAAATAACTTAGGAAATGAATTTTATTTTTGTTTTTAAACATATCCGAAGAAATGTATTTTATTTTTGTTTTTAAACATATCCATGTATTTGTTTAGTTATGAACATGATAGAATATATATAAATATTATAGAATATATAACTAAAATTACTGTTACTCTTTAGATTTGTTTGTTTTTATTTTGAGAAGTCAGCACACCCACAGTGTTTGCCTAACACTGCATCCTTCCTTTGTAATATCTGATGTTTTGCTATTTTTAAAATGAACATACACAATTTTTTGTATTGTTGTTGTTGTTGTTGTCATACACCCAATTGTTATATCTTAATTGAATCTCTAACTTTATCGTGTTGTCATATTGATACGTATTTGTTTTTCTCTATTTAGTATTACTTTTGTTACTGCTCTGGGTATTTATGCCTCTGTCACTTCACAGTAAAGTAAATGATTGCTGTATTTTGATATAACATTCTCAGTCATACTCCAATAGTCTTCATTATACAGTACAGTACTGTACCAACAACTCCATAAATTGCAGTAATTAGTGATAGGCCAGTGCAAGTTATTGAATTTTGCAAATTACAGATTGATTGTTTTCTAATAGAACAAAAGATTTTTCAGTAATTTAAATTTTAAATATCATTATGAAGTTCTGTGAAATATAAAAAATACTGTATATATGGAAGCATTTAGATTGTAATACAGATATTCTCAGTTTTTAAATTGTCAACAATTATGAATGTAGTGAATTCATAGTGTGTGCCCTGTATACAAACATGTTCCATACTACACACACAACACTTCAAGATGTTGCATACATCCCATAGTTTTACAGCTTACATTCTAATAAACTTGTTCTCAAGATTTGTCTCTGATGAATTGTGCACAGCCAGAATGGACAGCTTCTTGTTTGTTGCACAAAATCTCCATAGGATGTTCTTTAGCAACTTAAAGAATTACTAAGTTGCACTCAGGAGTGTGTGTAGCTCGTAGAACTATGCAATGTACAGATATGAGTGTATGACTTCTATTCAGTACTGAGTACTTTACTGCATATTTTTAACCCTTTTTCTCTTTAACAATCTAAATTTCATTACAAGGATATTAGTAACAGTTTTATATTCAGTACCAGTGTTAGAGGGATAGAGAAGGGGGAACTAATGCCTACAAAACATTAAGATAATTAATTTTATTCAAGGCTTCAATTCAGTTACCACTGAGGAAAGGTTGGCAGTAAAGAAAATTTATATTGATTCATCTTACCGTATGTTTCCGCTCCAGGTCTCCACATGCCAGCGGAGGATGGCTTAGTGGCCTCTACCGGACCCGAGTCATTGATTCAGGTAGATGGTGGGGTGGAGCAGGAAACAAACGAGGCAGAAGAGCCACCTGTGATATCGCATACACCTGTTGGGGATAATAATGACATTGACCCGGCTATTCTTAAAGCTATGGCTCCAAATAATGGTAAGATAAACTCATATAAATTAATTACGGTACATTATTGGTATTATACTGAACTGTGTTATCCTACGTCAAAATTAGTTCACATTGTTACATAGATTAAATATTTATTCGGTATAATCGTCATACAAGTTACATTGATTCAGCTTATCGGTTATGAATGAACTATATACTTCAGACCAGCTACAAGAAGATGGACACTTAGGCCTACCTCATCCTGAGCCTCCAGACTCAGGTGTAGGCTCCCTAGACTCTCCCAAACATCCACCAAAGGAGCCTGAAAGTTTACCAATGGCTGAAAGTTTACCAATGGCCCCAACACCTAAGCCTGGGCCACAGCCTCTGAGAGCCATGGAACAGTTTGGTGAGGGGCCTGCACCTACACCACCTCCACTCCCACTCCTGCCCTCGCAGGATGATGAGTAAGTTTTCTTATGTTTTCATGAAAATATCATGATTTACAAATTTTTTCATTAATATTTAGCATTTCTATTTAAATACTGGTACAGCATGCCCTGACAATTTGCAGATGACTCCCTGGATGTACCCAAGAATGTCTAAGGGTAGTTTTAAAGTTGCCGGCATTTTTGCTGCCGGGACAGGGAGCCATTTGTTCTAGACAGTAATTTCTCTTCCATGTATTTTATGTGTGTGTGTGTGTAGACACACACAAAGCATATACAAATAAATAATAATAGGAAAATCCTCTCACAAATAATCAGAAGCAAGACAAACAAAATGTATTAAAAATGTGAGCGTTTACCCTCAAGTCAACTCTGTGCTTTGTGATAACTTTAATAACAAATCACGGAGTTGACTTGAGGGTAAACGCTCACATTTTTAATACATTTTGTTGCCTTGTTTCTGATTATTTGTGAGAGGAATTTCCTATTATTATTTATTTGTATATGTTTTAAGTGTGTGTCTACACACACACACACATATTTACAATACAGGTAGAAAAGATAATTTTCCTGGGCAAGCACATAAAGGGAATATACATTTCTTTGCACACGAGTAAAAATGTACCATATACCCCCCACCCTTGGTCAGCAAATGTTATTTGCGGATTTGGCTGTTCACTGCCATTTTAAGAACCTTAACCCCTGCGAATTTTAAGGGCATGCTGTATTAAAAAATTTCAAGAGACATTAAAGATTGTTGACTGGTGATGTCCTGACGACACATATCTTGAAACCTTTTGTATATTTCATTCACGTACTTGAGGGTAGATTGTTACATTTTTATTAAATTCGTTTCTGGTTATTTGTGAGAGGATTTTCCAATTTTTATTTATTTGTATGTATTTTGTGTGTGTGCATCTACATGCACACACACATATACAATACTACATGAAAAAGAAATAATTGTCCTAAGGGCAAACACATAAAGGGAATACAGTATACATTTCTTTGTACACAAGTAAAAATTTGACACCCCCCACCAGGTCCACAAATGTTATTCGCGGATTTGGCGATTCGCAGCCATATTGAGAACCTAATCCCCACGAATTTGGGGGGCCCCTGTATTTATATTTGTATTATCTTTACAGAAACCCTCCTCCAGGAGAATCAAGTACACGTCCGCGCACTGGTAGACGATCAGCCCGGCCCCCAAGTGCACGCCCAGCACCTCCAAGAATTCGTGAGAGACGAGAAATCCCTAAGGAGGAATTACAGCGTCCTCCCACTGGAAAACCTGTGGCTAATGTGATCCTTTCCTCTAGTGTAGCTGATAATGATGATGATGATGATAATTTTGTAGTCGAGGACTCAAAACCTACAATATCAATGGAGGAAGATACAGTAAGTATTGGCTCCCTGATATCATTAGTAAATTTAAATAAACAGTCTTAACCTATGTCTCTTTTTCTCACTCAGCCACCTTCCCTCATAGTGTTTGGCAATGTCTCATTTAAGATAATATTTACACTGACATGTACAGTCATACACATTTGCGAAGGAATTAATCACGTGTGCATATGTAGCATTAGGAGCTTAGTGGGAACTTCTTTGCACAGTTTGCTCTAAATAACTTTGATTACTGTTACATGTGTTGCTGTCATACTTATAGTACACATTTTTATGTGGGCACAATGACTTAAAGTACTTTTAATGTTACACTACTTCTTATATAGTACAGTAACACATTTATATTGCTCATCTGTATTACAGCAGGAAGCTAGTGTTGGTGGCATTAGACAACATTGCAATTCTTTCACAGTATTGTTTAAATTACAGGTTAATTTTACAACATACAGTATTTAGATATTTGGGCTCAATTATATATATCTACCAATAAGAAGATTTGCTCTCAATTTAGTGGTGTCAAAGTTAGATGATTGTGATCATTTCTTTTATTTTTCTTTATTGAACTTCCTTTCCCATTATGGTGTAAGATGGCTGGCGTCCGGTGCAACACAAGGTCTCCCACGTTTTTAGTAGTTTCATTTATTCATTTTAGTTGCTGCACCAGATGAGTTCTACTATAGTATAAGTATTATGCATCTAATTCACTCATTGTGGTATTATGGAAGAATAGAAATGATTAAGATGGATAATTATCAAATAAGCTATCCATCCAAATCAACAAGTTTGGTTGTGGAAACATCCAAGGGACTTTAGAAGACCTGTTTTTTGTGCTGCCTTTTGTACCTCAAGCATATTAATGCCAAATTTAGCCTTAGCATGAAAGGAACCTTGTTCTTGAATCTCAATTTCAGGGACTTGCTGAGCCTCATTAATTACCTCAGGGAGTTGTAACCCTGCCTTGCCAGTTAATCACAACTACCCCAAACAAGCATGGAAAATGGTTGTAAAACAATGATGACGATGATGAATTAGACACACTTCTCATGACACTTATTTTCTCAGTTACCCTTAGATGCTGCTGCAGCCAGTGGAGCAGCAGCTGCAGCAGCAGCAGTGGGAGAAGATGGTGAAGGAGCAGGGCTTCTGGTAGCTCAGATATTAGAAACCAAAAAAGAGCTTGAAGATGGACGCCGTAAAGCCTTTTCTCCTGAGACACCCGGTCACAGACGTGTTCCAATTGTAAGTACCATGCTGTACAATACTGTACTTCAGAAACAAGATTTGGTGGAGACCACATTTTCTTTCCTTGTTTAGTTTAGGATATGTTGTAAGCCAGGTTTGCACCACCAGTATTACTCTTCTATATTAAGTTTATTAATACATGCCTAAATGTATTATAACAGAAGTCATTTGGATGACCTGTACAAAGTTCATTTTGCAAGTACCGGTATAGGATGTAATTGATGTTTTTATTAATTAGTAAAATGTGTTTTATTGGATGGCTTAGAATGGGATACTGATGACTGTCAGTAAGGAGTGATACAAACCAGATATTAAATGACTGTATAGTAATGTTTTGTATCAGTCATACAGTCTGTAATGCAGTCAAGTCAATCATGTTCGACTCAAGCTGATGAATGATTGAATTTTCCAAACATTAGTGTCCACAAATTTTACTGATAAAGGCCAAATGTACATAGCACTGGTGTAGACCTCTTACAGCCACCTCTGAAATAGGGAGCGGGGTTTAAAGTTATTTGGATTCTATCCTTATACATTAATCATTGCATACTTGCATACTGGGCCATAAAATGATTACATCACTCACTGTACAGTGATATCTCCGTTAGCCGGAACAGTCGGTGCAGAACACTTCCGGGAATGAGAGATTTCTGGGTAACGAGACGACTCTCTCAAAGCCGGAAAAAATCCCTCATCCTGGGAATTTTTCTGAATTTTCCGGGTATCGGAAGAATGTTCTCGGAAGTTCCAGAAATTGCCCATTACATCATCTCTCGAACCTGGAAAGGTGTCCCCCATCCATGAAATTTTCCAGAATTTTCTAGGTACCGGATAATTTTTCTCGGAATTTCTGGAAAATGCACCTGATTTTCATCTCTCAAACCCGGAAAAAAATCCCCATCCCGGAATTTTCCGGGTATCAGGAAAATTTTCTCAGAGTTTTCCAGAAAATGTGCTTCTCGGAAAATCATTCCTGAAGCCAGAAAATTACGGCTTTGGGGACAATTTTCCGATAAATTTTCAATTCTGGCTACCTGAGAGTTCCAGGTTTGAGGGATTCCGGCTCACGGTGATTATTACTGTACCGTATTTTGCGGCATAGAAGACGCACTTTTTATTACAAAAATATACCTTGAAAATTACCATGCGTCTTCCACGCGCTATTTGATGGGTTGTAGCAGAGGTTTTCTTAGGGTCAACTGAAATCCGCCCCTTACAAAGACTGTTACCTCATTACTTAGCAATTACAAGTATTCTCTATACTATAAAACAATTGATTTAACTAACTTTGTTGATATACTGTGAAAAATATGATTATTTACTTACTCAGTAGGGAAAAAAAATGGCTGCAGCTACACAACCCTTGCTACTGTGCGGTTTGTTTACTAATGGCAGTGGTGCGGCAGCGCCATCTATTGAGGAATTGCGTTATTGTCATATCGACAAAATCAAGGAAATAATGTAAACACTACAGCCCGCTAGAAAAGGGGGGGGGGGACCAGGTGTAGAAAATGAGTGCTGTATTAAAGATTTTCACTTCTTATACAGATTTTTTATTAAAAATTGATGAAAATGACAACTGATAAGCAGTTCTAAGTGAGGATATTCAAAGAGGTGTGTGTACTTGTGCGAAAAGGGCTGTACTGTATATCAAGCAACTGTTTCACTGGTGTCGGTTAGTAAGTATAAAAAGTTTTATTCCTAGAATTACATTTCCAAAATCAGGGTGCGTCTTCCACGATGCAGCGTCTTTACTCCGCAAAATACGGTATTTGCTAATAATGGAACAACCATTAATGGACTAGCCTCTTGCCAAGTGGTAACCCCCCTTGTTAGTGAATATCAAGAGTCGGGGGACCAGCTTCTGCTCAGCCACCCTGAATCAAACGAGGAAAATACTTGCCAAGTAAAAGAGAAAATAAATGACATAAAAAAATAAAGTTTAGAATAATAATAAAATTTAAAATAACCTCAATAAACACTTCAGGTCAAATTTCGGTCTTAATAGAATATTTGTGTTATAGATGATGAACATTTTACAGTTACATGGTGTTATCAAAATGGATTGAGAGGAATAGAAAGATATAAGGAAATAGTGTACAGAGTTATAGATGATGTAGCTGATCAAACAAGGAACTTTGCAATGTAGAGATATTTTTAGTACTGTATGTTGAAAAAGTTAATGTGGAAATAATTATACAAACATGCACAGGTGTAGCAGATGACAGTAAGGCACAGGAAAATACCAAAAACAGAAGGACTAAATGGGGACATATGAGTGTAAGAGGAGTTATTTTGATGGAGGTTACCGAAGCCTGTAAGACTGATAATACGTGTAGAAACTTTGCTCGGTGCTTATTACTCCACAGTAGAATGTACTTGATACTATATTAATGATAGATAAATCAGTGAAGAGGATAGATATCTATTGGTAATAGTTATACAGACTATAATTTTCACAACACTAACATGCTGATCCTGGGTTACCAAGGTGGCATTGTTTTAGTCTCAATGAGTTACTGATAACTATTCATTTATACAGGAGCAGTCTCTTCTGAGTGATGCCAATCGGAAGAAAGAACGCGAACTAATCCAAAAAGATGTACAGAAACTCAGTGGCTCCATACAGTCCATCACAAGATCTGTAAATCCATTAGGTAAGTGGATGTTGGTTACGCTGAAACATCAATGAAAGTTGGTGATTATGAGTACAGTACTGCTGATTTCCATGAGTAAAAATACTGTAGTTATAATGATAAAGAAAATTTATGCTTGTACAAAGGTGATCCTCTCAAGTATAAACTGATGTATTGATAGACATAGAGTTTATAAGGTGGTTTATCATTGTTAAGGAATATATTTCAGTTATATTAATACAGTATGTCATGATATTTTTTAGGAAACTAGCTGGTGTTTGTACATGAACTTTGTCATGTGTAATCTGATATAACTCTCTTCCTCTTCTCTTTACCACACTGTATACACTCTCCATTATCCTGTCTGTCTCCTTAGAATAGTACACTTGTTTTGTTATCCCAGACTCTGATAAATAACCACATTCCTGAGAAACCTTACCATTTCTCTGTGTTTTAGCCAAGATGCTAGATTACCTTCAGGAAGACCTAGACTCCATGCAGAAGGAACTAGAAATGTGGCGTAGCGAGAACAGACAGTTGTCACGAACTCTCAAACTTGAACAGAGGTACGGTTCTTATTTATAGTTGCATGTTATCTAATTGTTGAACTGGTTTTATTAACATTATGAAAATACTCTTGAAATTTTTATGCTTGACAAGTTATTTCTTAAGTGCACAGTATTTGTTAAGCATCAGGAGGACTGTGGTCATTAACCCTCAGATATCAAGGCAATACTTTGATTGGTTGAAAGGATCCTCGTTATGGTAATTATCCTCTAGTGGATCTCAAAATATCTAATGGAAAAAAAATAGGCATTTTAGACCTTAACATTTAACTAAACCAGAAATTAAAACTAAGTGAAATATAGACAATGCTCTCAGCACAAGATATTAATTATACAGTACATTTTATTTTTACAGTTTAACAGATCAGGAGCTGGAGCCATTGAAGTCTCAGCTACAAGAATATGAAACAGCAGTCCAGGATCAGCGGGATAAGTTGTCTGCCATTAAGTCAAACATCCTTAAGAATAGTGACAAAATATCACGTCTGATGGCTGGTATAAATTTAAATATATAATATAACTTATCAGGCATACAATGAGGTCACTTTGTTTTTAGATGATTGTACATAAAGTTTTTTTTTCTGAAATATAGAATCTCTTATATAAACTACTGTAGTATAATATATTTTGTTAATAGATATGCATGCAGTTGGATTAATACACTATACTGTTTGCAGATTAGTAAAGAAGTATTTATTCAAAACAAATTTATATATTAAATGAATGTGGTATAGTTAAGAGGCACAGTTTATTTTAGATTATATTTCCACTATTTATTTTTTCAGGAATATGATTACATTATCAACACAAAAGGTAATTACTTGCAAAGAAATCTGTCCAGTTTTCTTGTGTTATACATATATTTACTGGTATCTTATGTATTAAATTATGATTTAATACCCCATTTGGTGGATATGATCCAGCCATTCAAGAATGATGAAACATACAGGACTTAGAAACTGTACCTTTCTGACACCAGTTCAAGTTTTTTAATACTTATGAGAAGTAGGTTGAGTATTCCAACAAGTTGATAGTGAAGATAAACTCAGGTGGGTGTAAGAGTAGAATGGTTGAGAACGGCAGCAAGAGCCTCTGTGAGACTCCCAGTGATGTGATACAGTAACACACACACACATACTGGGTTTTCTCTATGTGATATGGAACAGTTCAAAGTATATAGAAAGTTTGTCTTAGCCATTTTCAAAGTTACTTAGTAATCAGGTTCGTATGATTTATGTTTTTTGTTATGAATTTATTGGAGTTAGAAGCTCTGAGAGTAAAAAAAAAAAGTTTAGACAATAACTAAATGCATTTGACTAGTAGAACAGAACCTAAGAATGTATATATAGAGAGCAAGGTACAAACATGTTATTTATAAATATCAAATTTTTTTACACCATATATATGATGTAGTGTATATCTGCTTGTGTATCTCAAAATGTTGTATCCAACCACCAAGCACTATAGTGTATGGTCGCCAAAAACCAGAGTAACACAAACTCTCCCAGACTTGGTGTCATTCATCCTCTCCTGCTGATGTACCAAGTTGTGTTGTGGAGACGCCCTGGCAGAACAGGTTGATAGATAAGTTTATTGACCCCAAAAATTTGCAAATTACATATACCCTGTATACCTGTAGAAACAAATAAGAGATATAACAAAAACTGCTTAAGCTTTATGGTCCACAAAGAATAGAAGCCAAAACCAGAACAAAAAATAAAATTTGGTTATTCAACTAGAAACAACCAATGATGTAAAATGAGGAAGAATTTGTGTTTCTCTTGATTTCAGCCATCTTGTGCTGTAATAGGAAAAGACAAGTAAGAAATATGAATGACAAAAACAAAACACAAAATAAATACCTGTACCGGTAATTTGAGAATCGTGACTTATCTTTAAATTTGTTTTTTATTTACACAAGCATTTATACCTTACTGTGCTTTCATTATCAGAATAATTTTATAGTGTCCTAAACCTCAAGCAGCCACATAAATTGCCATCGTAACCTGAACATGTTTTGTACCTCAACAGGGACCATATGAGAGCATTTTCCACATGAATAAGGTTTTTACAATCTTATTAGTTTAGTTACTACTGTAGCTTCAACATAGAACAGTGATCAAAATAGAATAGTCACTAGTCTTGAAAAAGATTTAATTTTATTAGAATCTCAGTATGCATTGTTGGAATTAGTTTTTGTTGCCTGCCTAGCAACCAAAATACATTTATATTCCCCAAATTATCTAGGAACAGACAATGCTCTTATGAGTGGTGGTGAGTGTCGTGTTGTGTATACTGCACTCGGTAAATAAATTATTTAAATGCAATTTATCACTAACTTTTTATATTTGGTTCAACTATTTTTTTTTGTATTTACTGTATTTAAAGAAATACCATAAAATGGTAATAGTCATTTCCCTACAGAGTGTTTGAAACTCCAATTGTTGTATATCCTCTTACCCAGAGTTTACGCATCCACTGTTTTAGTCTATTTCTGTGAGGCTTCATAGAAATGTAAAAACAAGTTTCATACTGCACACTTTAGGTGTAACAACTTGATTAAGAATTAGAGTACAGTACTGTACCTGTACTGGCATTTTAAGATTTAAAATTGCTGGTTTGGTTAATCATCATTTTATAACAGGAGAAATCCTCAAGATGTACTGCCAGAGTAGATGTTGCAATACTGTATTTAGCTTCTAATGAAAGGGGAAATATAATGAAGAATTACATAATACTGTACCTAATTTTTTGTCTGTTCATTAAGAAAGTTTGTCATTATGGAGTCATGTCAGGGATTTTAAGTTAGCATAATACTGTTTTTGGAGTGTGTGTGCTTGCAAGTGTGCATTTTAAAGATGTTCATGTCTCCCCAAACCACTTGTACTTTTTGTATGTATTAAACGATCACTTCACAACTTCAAAGCTAACAGAGCTATTTTCAGGTCTATCAATTCTCTATAAATGTCTTCTTTACACACACAGTTTCTAAAAATAGTATCATGCCTTTTCTGAACCCGTGGTGTGACCCCTTCGATATATTTTTACATATCAAAAGCAATTATTTTTTCTGTCATATTTATGAAACACACAATACAGGTATATAATATTAATTATATAACTTAGTATGACCGTCCATTTGAAACCTGTATGCATTCATTTGTTGTGTTTATGTCCAAATGTATGTGAGAGTCTTGTGTATGTTTATGAAGATACTAAGGTCAGTGTTGCACTAGTTATACTCCATCATGTAAGTCTAAAAAGAATCTCTTGTAGAGGTAATGGAGAGTAATTAAAAAAAACTGTGATGGCCTTAACTTCAGGTAGATCCAGGGTTTTGTTTATTATTATTATTATTATTATTATTATTATTATTTCCTTGATATACATTCCTAGTTTGAAGTTAAATTAAAGTGTGTTGATATAGATAAATTTCCATATACTGTACTGTACAAGCTTACTATTTGTAGGTTAGGTATCTACAAATGTAATTTTCTCATAACTCTTTATGTACAGTACTGTAGTATATATAATCGAAACAAACAAGCAATGTTTTGCAGCTCATGGATGTTGTGTAAACAGAGTTGTACAATAACTAATATTGATCTAATTTTTTTAAAAATCAAACAAAAAAGAATATCATAAAGTGATGCTTGTAGTTGGTTTATATTATCATTACATACAAGGAGAATATAGCTTATTAACTGAGACTCACTCTGAATATTGACATCAAAAACATGTGTATATTGATGTTAACCATAATTATAATTATGCTGTTGTTGCCATTACATTTACCAGTACCTTACACTGTTGCATCAAGCTACTCAGGTTAGTGTAGGACAAACTCTATTTGACTCTAGTTAAACCACTTATCACTTACATGTGTTGGCAGCAGTTTGGACCCAGGATCATGTTTTTTTTGAGAAAAATTAATGATATTTCTGATATTGTTATTGGCACTGTATTATGTAATGCAAAAATATGAAAGTCTAATACTACTGTATAGAATATGAGACCAACTCCTAAATAGTATTACAGTAGACCCTTGCCATCCGTGGCTTTGTGATTTCGATGATTTGCAGTAAGCAGATGGTGGCCACCATCTGCTTAGCCTTTTCCCACAGCGCAACGAGCCACCCCACGCACCCACAGCGTCTCCTCTCCCTCTGTTCTTGCTCAACCATTGCCTGTGATGTAGCATCTCATGTTGTAGTCTCAAAAGTTTAGTGTTTCTGTGTGAAATGGATCTAAAAGACTGTGTAGTGTCAGTGTTAGTGGAGTGAAATGTAAAAGGCAGAAATCAGTGATGACCCTGACAAAGAAATTTGAATTACTATTTATTAGATAAGTTAAAAGAGGGGATGAGTGCTGCCTGGTCGGTTGTTTGGTACAGTATAGGTGTACAGTGGTGCATTAAGGTATAGTATAAGTTGCTATTTGCAGTTTTGCCTATTTGTGCCATTCCTTAGAATCTAACCTCCGCGAATAACAAGGGTTTACTGTACTGTACTCTATGTCTGACAAACTCCTTTTGCAAAGCTGTAACTTTATTATATAAAATGATAATCAATACACCTCAGCTGTGGTCCAGATTGGCAACCAACTTCTATAACTATGGACACAATATTTTCTTAAACAGACCATAGTGTGCTTTAATGTCTTGCTTTTTTCACCTCAGATTTCATACATCTTGCATAAAGAAATTGTTGGGAAAGATTTACGTCAACTGATAACCTTAAAAAATACCGGTAGTATTATAGATAGAATTTTAGTGTAAATTTGAAATATTATGTTTAAATCTTGAAGCCTTTTGTGAGATGTTTCACCTGAAAATCAATTAATTGCACAATAAGATATTAGCCCTCTGTGTTCAGACATACATAAAGATCATTAATAACATACAAACTGTAGTTGTTAATGCACAAAGTTGCTAATTATATATAATATTTTGAAGCAAGGCTGCTTATTTCTGCCTTATATATAATTACCATGTAGTACAGTAATGGCATGTGCAACTCTCTACTTTCCATTTGTTTATTATCAATAAGAGTTGTTAGGTAAGTAAGAATATGGGAGGGAAGTGAAATGACTTCAAAACCAGTGTACAGTACACTACTCGTACATGCTTTATCCATAGAGTATTCAACATGTATCATATACTTATACTGTACATCGACTTTGTCCCATAACAGTGGACTTATAACTTGTAGACAATAATCCTCATGGATGTGATTAAAAAAATTTGTTTAGCTAAATTTATTAAGTTTCTTTTCTTTTCTTTTATTCTCTTCACCACTGATCATCTCGTTAGCCGCTTGGGCGTTCGGTTACTTCTCTGTTTCGCACTGTTGGCAAGTACTGGGCATTCACTGGCTCCTGAATGTATCTGAACCTGCTCCAGTGTTGTTCAAGTCTGGTCTTGAAAGAGTTCACACTGTGCTGTCACAACACTTTCTGGTAGATTGTTCCAAGAGTTCACAGCTCTCACTCCGAAAAAGTTTCCCCTCACAGTTATCCGGACTTGCGGCTTCTTTAACCTTGAGCTGTGTCCCCTTGTGGGGCGAGCGTCCAAAGATTCAAATTATTTTTTTTAGGTTTATAATCTTTATAAAACCCTAATGTGGCAGTAGCTCATTTTCCTTATGTTATAAATATTGACATTATACAGGTATAATATTTAACTTTGAAATGATGACAGTGCAGATACATTAAATATAATGTTAACCGCTTGTGTATGGGATCCCCTCTGTGCTGAATAAAATCGCCTGACGTTAGCTAAATAAAACAATAAAAATGGTGTCCTCATAGTAAAGGGGTTAATGGTCATTGGTTAAAAGAAAAAAGTAAGGGGATAATAATTTAACACCACCTTTTTTTTTGCAGTCCCTAGCTAACTGAATGTCCAGCTCTCTTTGATAGGGCTGTGATGTCAGAGGCCAAGAATACAATATCTGCACTACAAATACAGTACTTTGTTATATGGAAGCAACTATTTGGAAAGAATTAGTCTAGATTTAGCTGACCTCACAGACACAAATATCCCCAAGTTTCTAGAATCTCCTTGGGATTTCCAAATGTAGTAAGCCCACAGGTGTAACTGTGGACAAATCATGAATTTACATATGTAATTAACTTTGGAAGGTTTGTTCAAGTCTGTAGAACAACTTCTCTACATGTACTAAGTATTTGTACTTCGATCATGTTATCACTTAGTACCATAAAATATCTCACAATCTCAAGGAGACATTTTAGACATCATATACAGTACTGTATCCCTTCCTAGTATTGATATCAGAGTGAGATGAAGAACTTCATAATCTGGAAATCTATAAAATGTACACAGGTTTAAGAAGTCAGTAATGTGTATACTGTACTGGATCACTTATATTTCAATATGCATGAATACCTGAGTTAAGGCCTCAGTGTCTTAACTGTAACCTGTGAATATTAATGATTTATAAGATACATCAATAGTAGCTGAAACTTTAGGTCATGTACACACAATCAAAATAGTATCTTTACGGATAGGTCCGATGATTTTCAAAAGAACCCTGCAAATCCTGTTGTCTCTGTAGGGTTGTCAAAATCCTTCATTTATTGTGTCAATGTCTAACACAAAGTTGTAATGAAACTTTTAAATTGTGTATACAGTATATAATACACTTCAGTGGCCTGTATTTTGTATACAAGAACTTTCCCTATCCATTTAATACATTATTCAACAGATGCACTGTCAATGACCAAATAATACCATACTTATTTCCTAGTTTATCTCAGCAAAGTGTGTATAATGTATGTGTAATATATAATAATATCCTCTTTAGCTAGTCATCAGTTGAGCTTGGTTATGAAATTTTACACAACACTAATAATCGTTGGGATACGCATCCTACTGCAGAGTGACAGGTATATGTGATTTAGTGCCTTTGTTATGAAAACTTGTACGTGCAGTATTGGTATCCACAGTTTCTTATATAGAAAAATTAGTACATAATATTGTTCTTTCTAATTTTCTTTTAGGCTCTGAATGTTTGTACAGCTTTTAGTCATTAGTAGTGTTATATTAGAATACAGTACTGTACAGTATACTGTAGGCTTATAAAAAGATGCTGAGTTTTGAAATAGTGTTCTATATAAGAGTTTGTAAAGTTCACATTAGCAATGTGTTTTTTAAAGGCAAACATAATTATTAAGTCATCTTTTTATTCTTTATCCGTGAAAAAATAATGAGTAAAAATTAATTTTGACAAGAACTTGTTCATTTGGGATTTCTTCATATTTGAGGAGCTCGTGTTACTAAAGTGTTGGTCTATTATTGTTAAATCTTTTGAAAGAAGAAAAAGTGTCTTGCTAATAATGGTGATTATATTTATACTAGATAACTTAATCATTGTGATTACTGTACAGTACTTAAAATGATCTCCCTGTATATTCAGTGGCAGCCATCTGCCTTTGGGTACAGTGTTAATACAAGAGGAAATCAGAGTGGTTGGAGAAACCTGTAATGTTCAGTAGGGTCACACTGGGTGATGCTCTTCTCTCATGTTTGACCTGGGTAGAGGTTGAATCTGAGTCACAGTAGTGAGAGACAAGCATGCTGCTAATATACCATGAAAACACCCTCCACTTTACAGTTTTGGTGCTAAATATTTCATACACATGATACTTTCTATAACTTATAGATATCTAGAATATATTACTATGAGTTGATGAATGTTAACACTTGGGAATGTTTGTAAAAAAGTTGTACCCGGAATTTTACGAATCTAACAAGCAGTCACTAATTTTCCTAATTTAGGTAGACCCACTTTAGTTTTGCATTGACCTGTCACACCACACGGATTTTCATAACACAGAACTGTACAGTGTTTGAATCGAATTAACAACAATGTGTATGATTTTGTTAGATTGAACAGAAGTGGATATCAGTTGTTAATTTTACTTACCAATGGTATTAACTCAGACTATCAATAAAAGATAATGTAAAATTGCAAAATAATATTTCAAAGATAAGAATTGCATTTATAAAGTTTATTACAGTATTGTACTGTAGTTGCACTTGTTTCATGTGTTTTAACACAAGATGGAGGCACTGCTGTAAGAGTTATCAAGGAATTCTTTGAAGCTTACGACAAATTTAAAGACTTAAAGGCTGATACTATACTGTATGTGGTTCAGTCAAGAGAATAAATAGTTTATGATTTGGTCTTGTCTGTCATACTGTATTCACCAAAGATTTTCACACATCACATCATTTATTTGCTAAGCTACATAATATTTTGTATTTGGTAAATGGTAGGACAGACCCTGCTGTGATCTAAGTGGATTTCCCTTGTGGTATATGTGGTGTAGATACTGTCCTGTAGTGTAAGTGAAACCAACACCTGAGTTGAACCTCCTAACATGTATCAATTCTGTAGATGGCAAAACCTGACCTGGATGATAACAAAAATATTTAAAGAAAACTAATAAATGTATAGCTATGTAGATACAGGTCTGGATAGCTCCTGCAGTGACTAAATAAGTACAGTACAGTAAATGGAAAATGTATGATCTGATCTGACAACAAGATTCTTAAAATTAAATAAGTTTGACTACATTTATCAATTTTAGCCCTGATAACACAAAATGTATCATAATCCCTAAATGTTGGGGTTTTCCTTCAATGTTCACTGATGTAAACTCAAGCAATGCTCAATAAAAACTATATATACTGTCTATTTCAATATTTTGCTATCATAAAAATTCTTACATACCAGTGACCTTTATAAGAGGAAAAGTAATCTTCACTCAGGGGTGGACTGGGGGAAAGAAAAGATTTTTACTTTACACTTTATCCTCTTTGCTACTTGTTGGCTTCTTAGCAGCTTGAGCGATCAGTTACGTCTTTGTTACACACTGTTGACATGTATTGACTCCAGAATGTATCTGTACCTGCGCCAGTGTTGGTCGTGAATGAGATCATTTGGTGCCATTACAACATTATCTGGCAGATTTTTTACAAAAGTTCACAACTAACACTGAAAAAAAGTTTGTTCTGACAATTTTCTTCAAATGTGGCTTCTTTTCATTTGATATTATAAAATAACAGTAAGTCTACTGTAGAAATATAATTGTCATTGAAAAGAAAATGTGGAGTCTGTTTCAAGGAATGGCATGGACTAATAGACAATATAAACATGGAATACAGGTATTAGGGATTTACTTAAGATATTTTTATTTTTGGTTAGTAATCTTGAAATAAAACTGTCATGTATTGTAGCAATAAGTCACACAAGCTTTAGTTGACCTAAAGGTTCTGTAGGTAAGAGCTGATATGTTTTTTGAATTGTTAACAATTAGTTTTCATTTATACATGCCTCAAGCCTTTACTGTATATAATACTGTACATTAATAATACAGTAGATTGATGCTGAATATTCAAATCCTAAGATTCATTTGGCATTCTACACTATGTTGTGTCTTAGTTTACACCTAAACCATTCCTACCAATTGATTTATCTTTCACAAAGTTAGTACAGTATTGTAATTTTTTTTTTTTTTTTTTTTTTACACAGACTTGAGAGAATGGCCCAACAGTAATGTTTAGTAAATTCATAATTCCTAGATGGCAGTTCATCAGATAAAGCAAAAGTTTACCTTCAATGTCAAACTGCTGCAGAAAACGAAATATTTTTAAATATTAAAGAGAACCTATTAATATTAAGGGCTAACTCCTCTCCGACGTCCATGTACCCTTAATTAACCCTCAACACCACTTATTATGACTATTAAAATAATGGACATTTTTATTTTAATGTTTAAATTAAAATTATGGATTTATAATAAGAATGTATTACCAAAACATGAATAATAAGTTCTTTTCTTTCAGTATTTCAAGATGGATCATGTTCATATAAAATGTGGATGAGGGATAATAGAAGACTTTATGAAGTTATCAACTAAATTTTCATATGATCACAATGTTTAGTCAATAGCGTCACGTACATTTTTCTCATAAGATTCAGTTTTGGTATTTTTCAATTAAATAACCATCAACTTCTCTATACGAAACACTATTATTTATCGTCTTATTCATTTAAAACCACTTATCGTAGTTTAACACTATTTTTTTTTAATATGAATGTAAGTTATCTATGCTATGTTCTTATTTTACTTCTGTATATTCCAGACCATGAATAGTGTAGCACTTTTTCCTATAATTATTAATCTTCGCTATTTTTCTTGATTTGGTATAAATTTAAAAGCAATAATACTTATTATCATCTTCGCTAATTGTTCACTGTAGCTTAACTCCACCTGGCGGTTTTCTAGTGTGGCTTATAAACCTCTAATAATGATACAATTAATGTCTTGTGTATAGCTGTATGTAACACGTTATTCTTTACTCTGGAGCAGCACCTTACATCACGTCACATCCAATCAATCGTGTAGTATTGTGATGTAAGTTGCTGTTTAAATTACTCTTTTAATTATTTACTTTTTCACTGCAGTAAAAGGAAGTCGGTTAAGATGAGCATGATGAGTTGGGAAGATATCTGCAGTTAAGTCAGCCTTTAATGCTAATGCTTTCAAAAGATCTATTCTTACAAAAATAATACAGTACAGTACATAGAAAATATATAGAATTCTATTTAAACCCAAAATGAGCGTGTAAGGACGATCCTTATTCTAATAAAAGCATTTTATTTGTATTTAGTTTGTCTTTCAGAGATATATCCGTCAAATTTCTATATTTCCTTTGATATTATTATACTGCATTCATATTCATAATACAGTCGTTTAAATTATTTTCTCAATAATTATCCTGATAAACACATACTTTTTACTAAGCTGTGTAATATATCTTGGTTTTAACTAGCCACAATTATCAGTAGTACGTATTGTGCCCTTTGCATTTTAGTCTCTAAGAATGTCTTCCTTCATTTCAAGGGCGGATCCTGGGGGGTCCGGACCCCCATTTTCATTAGGAATTCCAATACTTTTCCTGTATCTGTCTTTGCATTTACTTGTAATTTTATCTTCATCGGCACTAATAGGCTCTCGATATTGTATCTTGCCCGACAATTCTATTAATTGTCTTTATAAATGTGTAAATATAAAATTTTGCAGTGAAATCTTGATTTTATTTTAGTCTATCAAACTTATAACGAGGTTCATGTAAGAGTCGCAGTAATTTTTGGGTCAGTTTTAAACCATCGGCATGTGTACATCAACATATGTACTTCATAGAATCTAAGACAGTTAACAGAGGTGTGTAATTCCAGTAACCACTTCTCTATCAACTAATTCCATTGATTTTGTGTAACAGGTGTAATCGAAAGTGGCGCGCAACAGGTGCGGGAGGTTAGTGTGGATTCATAACAAGGAAATGGCGGACGCTGACTGGCTAACACGGAGCATTGAATATATAAAGTCCACAAAACTTGTTGAATATAATATTTTACATTTTTCTAAATCTAATTAATTTTATTTATAATTTTTTTTAATATTTAGGGATTAATCCGGATAATAGTGTTTGAATATAAATATGGGTGAAGGTGGGCGAGACTTGACATATCGTGCGAGAGCCAAGTTGACGCAGCGGCCGCCAGAGGGTCAGTGGTGCTTGAGTTGGTGCGGGTGAGGGATGGTCGCGCGGCCGCTCTCCCTTATATTATCTAGATATATTTGTGGATTACCTCCGATGAAACTTGTAGTATGACTCAGTAGTGATGGATACAGTACCATTTAGTGGATTTCAGCAGCAGCTGTGTGGATGAAACTGAGGTGAGTACGTCACGAGGGAGGGAGGCCACAGCAAGTGCAGATGGTAAGAGAGTGTCGAGTTTCATGGGGAGAGAGCGGCGACCCGCGCCCACAGGCCGCCCGTTTGGGCTTATTCCCGCCCACACGCCACAAGTACTTCTCCTTTCGTTCTGAAACGTGCAGGAGGTTTGTAGGACAAATAGTTGTGCCTGTTGAACGGGTGATGGTCCGTGGTCAAGGCAGCGGCCGCCACCCCCACGCCCCAGAGCACCACTGGGGAGTTGTACCCCATGACAGTGGTGGGTGAGGACACAGGCAAACTCCTTACCTCATGATGTGTGTCTCAACCTGCCATATACCCCAAAAAGTTGTGTTTCGTCACCTACAACGTGTCCATGGTAACTGAGACTGTTGGGTGCACCTGCCATCATATCTTGCACACCTTTTTTTAACAATTGATAGGTTTATGGTCATTATATTCATAATATCTTGAAGGATATGAAATATGAAGGAATTAATCTTTTAAGTATTTCAGGCCTGTAACTTCATGTAGCTATATGGCCTTTGCACCTGCTGTAGGCCCATTGAGCCACATTTAGGCCTATTTTCTCTTACAAATATTTTGAACATAGATTTGAAATATCTTTTTGGGGATGTTTATGTGGTGGCAAAATAAATTTTACATTTTTCCTGGAATGTTCAAGAAAATTAATGACTAAAGTGTGTATGTAGCACTTATTATGGTACTGTACCTAAGTATTAACAAAGATCAGGAGGGGGAGCGGCAGGTTGAGAGCATTAATGGTGGTTGATAAAATGATTCAATAACAAAATGATTTTTGATTGTGGTAATGGTTTGCACATACAGCTAATTTACCATTCTGATTACCCATTCTTTTGGAATAAGAGGTGTGCATTACCTTACCTCCAGATTATGATGTACTGTATCAAGTGTGAGAAAAAACTGATAATGAAATAAAGTGTAGAGTGTCCCCATGAAACACCACTGTCTTGTAAACTGTATATTGTTACATAAGGTTCAGTTTTCTTGGTTAATTTGACCCTTTTAAAAGAACTGTATTCTTACCTAGTTGGGTTCCACACCATATTGATGGAGGGAATCCCATCCGTGACCCAAATTTTCTGCCATATATTCTTGAATGAGTTTAGTTGATGGGGAAAGATCAACTGAAGGAAGTAAATGGTTCATTATGTGTCTAGAATACGTTTTGTGGATGCCCTTGTGTACTAAAAACAGGACGGGCTATGAACAAGTCTGGGGGTATAACAGGTGAAAGGACCGAAAAATTACCAAATCATAATCAGATGTGATCATAGAAGTATACCATGAACAGAAAGACCATTGAGTGTGGCTAGTCGAGTTCCATTGTCAGTGTTAAATGGACCATCACTCTCTTATCCACCTTCATTGAACACATTCTAGTAAGTTAATATCACCAGCAAACCCATTGTGTCATATTACTGAAAAAAACTCAATCATTGGACGAATATGAGTCTTGTAGGGCCACAACATGAAGCTAGCATTTCGACCTAGGCTGTGGTATCATACAGTTCATATACAATAGACAAAATGAGTTAACTAAATGATGTATGAAGATCGTAAGTAAATAAGTACAGTATAATAGGTAAAGTTTGGTTAATTTGATCTGTTTTAATGGAACTGCATGATATGCTGTGTAAATGTATGTCTGATGTTATTGAAGTAGAATATATTTCACTTTGGAGCAGAAACTTTGATTCCCTGGTTACTTTACTCCCAACAATGGGTGCCATGCACCTGAATGTAGAAGTAACAAACACTTATTAAGCTGTAGGGGTTACGAACGGGTTCTGTTCCTGAGGACGTTCTTAAGTCGGAAATGTACGTAAGTCGGAACACATGCTATGTGCATACTGTACTTACAGAACGATGTTTAAAATCCACCTAAAATCACTTAGTTTAAGAGAAAAGAAGAAATAGAATGACAAAATACAGTAAATGAACGTAAAAAATAAGTCATCGGGTAAATAAAATACTGTAAATTTAAAGTTTAACTCCGCTCGTATCGACGGACGTTCGTAAGTTGTGGACCCCCTAGTGGCATAGGTGTGTGTATGTATTTTCCTAGATTATTTAGCTGGGTGTGGTTGGTTCATGCTGTCTGCTGTTGTACGTTGTTTAGTCTCGCATCCTCCTTTGAAGATTATTGTTGAAAACACTGTGGCCTTCATGGACATTTTCATCAATCTTTTCGTAAGTTTATCTCAGTTTTTCCGAGATGCTTGTGTAGCCAGGTAGCTGCCCCGCCAGTTAAACGTAACAGCTTCTCTAAGTGTATAATACAGCTAATACCCTCTCGTCAGCCAATTCTAAACCTCATTGTTATAATTTTTGTTTTCAGTATATTTTTACCCAGTTTTCTAGTTCGCAGTGTGATTCTACTTGTTTTTATTATTATTTATTTATACAGTACAGTATTAGAAAAACTACAGTAATTAGAAGTGAAGGTTAGGTTAGGTTTAGTTTCCTTTAAAGTTACAGTATACAGTACTGTACTGTATTTCATTAAAGACTACTGGAGACCTCCTCTATTACCAAATACAGTACAGTACTCGGGTTGTTATTTGCTGTTATGATATTGTTGGTTTAGTAAAAATGGATTACAGTACAGTATATTTATCTCATTCAGTAGTGTTATATCTGCAACCCAAATCCACACATGGAATATTATTAATTATTATATATTGGGCTGTATATTATATACCAATACCTGGTACTGTATATATTATTATTTCTATATTTTTTTATCTTTGTTAGCTGGCATATTCTCATCAATCAAGCACTGAATATGGGAGAGCTGTTTTTACTGTGGAACCATATCGTGCCTCTCACTCCATTGAACAACTCTTAACAAATGTCACATAAACATCTCTAGACCTCGGAACATCATTAAAATATTGTTTCTTTCCTTCTCAACCACATCATCATCATCATACTCTTCCCTTTCTTTGTGATCCAGATTTTTCCCGCAATATTACCAGTCGAGGAACCATGATGTCTTTTGCATCTTTATCGCTGCTATACCTCCTCACTAAAATCCTGGCCAACATATACCTTTAATAAATCTAGTACAGCTTTTATTTATTAGTGCTATTGGTCTTTGTTTTCTAATGTCTCCTCAAATCCTTCAAAATTGTGGTGTTTTTGCCAGGTCTGCTGTACAGTATTTATTATTCTTGTTTAACCCCAACCCTTGCATGTTAAGTCATGAGCATTAGGCTACTGTACATATTTTAATATTATACAGAACTTTTAAAGGAATAACTTATCACCTTGGCATACCGTCAAGATGCAATAAAAAGATTGTTGGAACATTTTAAGATTTTTAATGACAGCCTGATCCATCGGCTGACACAATGAACCATTATTGTCACAATTATTGCCGTTAGATGATGCAAGGCTATTTTATATCATGTAAGTAAGAACATTGTCTATAACAGTTCTATCTGTATCCTGGATATTTTTACTTTTAACATTATTTTCAATAAATGTCTGTTTTATTAAGGGTGGAATGTGCTTAGGGATGCCATGGAGCAGCCTGGCAAATGGTTGTTATCTATACAGTACCGCATTGCATGTTCCTTTTGTTAAATAATTTTACCCGTAATTTGAATATAGTTTTTTTTTCCCAATTTTGTTACAAAATATGGTAACCCTGAAGCAGATGGCTAACACCAAAATGCATTGTTCAGTTTTGTTAATTTTTTCCACAGATGTTCATTGGATGATTGTAAGTAAAAAATAGTGTATATGACAATGCGCAGAACTTAACAGAACCTTGCCTAACTTCCTAGCACCCTCAGACCTCCAGCCATATTAAAAAGAAAGTACTGTATACTGTAATTACTTTTAATATCTGGTACCAATGAAAGCAACTTTCATGAAGCGGCATGGTGTAATTTTAGGTTTTTTGTGGACGGAGAGCATGCTTGGGCCAGGCGGGTAGATTGTTGCCTGAAAACAAATATAAAACAGACGACAACGCGGCAGATTTTTTGAAGGAATGCTGTATGTACGGTAAATAATTATTTTTTTCACTTTCTCTACATTGTCGTACGTTTTTTTTCCTTGCGTACTATCATCCAAAGAATAAGTGGGAAAAATGAGCTTAATTGAACAACACGTTCTGGTGTTGGCAATCTCCTTCAGGATTACAGTGAGTACAGTACCTATACAACTCAGATTGCTAGTGTCACTGTCATTAGCCACAGTAGGAGGGTGAAGGGATGGCCAAGAAGCAAAAGGAAGGATTTGCTTAAGAAACACTAAAAAGGAGGAGGCTAGATATTCAGGAGTAATCAATAAAACCCATGTACAGTAATACATTACTGTACTGATAGCTATAGTACAAGAATTAAAAGTACCAGTATTGGTTTAGTATAAATGCATTAGTATTAATGTTCCAACAATAAATATACATTTAAACATTATTGATTAGAGTCATAAGCTGTCAATTTTGTTCTGTAGTAAATACAGCTCCTCCCTGACTTACGACGGGGTTAGGGACCCAAATCCAGGTCGTAAGTCAAAATGGTTGTAAGTCGGGGAGGAGCTGGAGTTGTAAATCTAAAAGTGGAAGAGACTGTGTGGTTCACCAAGCCTAATTTCATGTAATGACCCAAGACTTAAAGTACTGTACGTATCCCTATTACCCTGTAAGTACTGTACTGTTTTGTATGACAATTACGTTATTATTTTTTTTGTGAAAGCTTCATGCTTATTTTTTAATGTAAAAATGAACTAACACTACATTCAGTATAACAGCTATTAATAAATACAGACATCACAGTACAGTATAACACTGTACCAGAACAGTATTTTAAAGATCCACTTACCATATGCTGTCCAAGTATCCAGCTTATCCCACTTACTGCTAACTATAACTACAGTACTGTACTGTATAAGACCAACAATTTGTGAATGAGTGCTTGTTTACAAAAAATCTGATATAGGTTGCAAT